TTTCTCTTGTCTAAATGAAGTCAGAAGTTTAACAGGGCAAACTGAATCTTGAAGATGATAGAGGGCCTGGGCACAGCCAAGAAGAACTTGAGCTAGCTCTTGAATGTTGGGGGTGGGTATAGCCCTCGACTTTCCTTTCTAGATAAGTACATAGATCAAATGCTTGAAAAGTTTTTTTACAGTGATAGGACTACACAGATACCGCCCCCAGCATCAGGCCTGAGCCCCACTCCCACTCCTTGGGATGCCCAAGGGTGGAGGGAAGGCTGCAGCCAAGTTCAGGCGCTGGAAGTGGGTTCAGTTCCAAAGTGGCTTGTTTGTTTGTATTTTTTGTGGTACTGGGGATACAACCCAGTTGCACATACTAGGGAAGCACTGTACCTCAGAGCAGCACCCCTGCCCTCAAAGCAACTTTTCTGCTATTTCCTGTGCATGTAGAAAAATGGGTGATGGAGCTTGTCTTCATGGAGCTTGCCCAAGCCCATGGTTCCCTTCCTGGAGTAAAGGTCACAGTGTTTGTCAGTGTACAGTTGGCCATATTCTAGCATTTTCAGCGTCATACATTTGACCAACAACCCTATGAGCCAACTGTAAAAAGAACCCAGCTGGTCCCTCCCGCTCCTCCCTCCTCCCTCCCTCCTCCATCTCTTCTCTTCTTGAGGCTTTGTGCTTCTCACTGCTCCTTATCCATCCCATCCTTCCCGGCTTCCCCAAGAGACCATCCATCAGGCCTATGTAATCCCACAGCATTGCCCGCTCAGAACACCAGAAAGCCATCTTACCTGTTCTCTGAGCCTAAGCCCAGTGTTCAGACACTGCATGGTAGGGTAGCATGGTTTGGTTCTGGGACCGTTCTGATTCAAGTGTGACAGGTGGATAGAAAGACAGGCTGAGAGAAGACAGGTTTGGTTAAGACAGCTTGACTGCCTGTGTTCATTCCCACCCCAACTACTACAGCCTTCTCTGCCTACTGCATTTCATCCTCACCCTTAAGTTTTCCCTTTCCTAGTCTTGTGATACAGCGCCCCTTACCCTCCCTGCTCACTAGGCAAGCACCCCACCCCTGACTGTATTCCCAGCCCTTGTGTAAGTCCCACTTGTAGAGAAGTCAGGAGGGCTGCTCCTCCTCTATTGCCACCCTTCAGCTTTTTCCTGAGCTTGTTTTGAGAAACAGAAATTGGGTCATGTGGGAATATCCTTGGCCTGGTCATGCTTCCCCACCCACTCCCTGCACCCAGCAAAGAGTCTAAAAATATTCTTCTTCCACTGAAGAAAGTGAGCCATTTGGGGTATATGGTAATGGGGGCAAGAATGCCAAGAGACCTAGGAGTTGTATTCTTTGGAGGTGTCGGAGACCTGGTAGCTGTCTCAAAAGTCCAACAGGAAGCATGACCACAGGATTCCCATCAGTGAAGGCCCCTGGTCTCCTTCTGAGAGAACAATGTCCTGGGGACCCTTTCACTGAGAACAGGAATTTCAGGCTTGGGTACAGAAGCAGGAGAAGACAGAGCCCCCCTCTGTTCGCAGATATCTCAGAACCCATAGTTTAAATCAGCAGTTGTCTGTTGGTCTGAAAATTGATGACTCAAAACCCTGAGGGATTCAGCAGTGAATATGGTGTGGTTCACAATGTTGTCTGAAGTCTGGTGAGTAATCTGAAGGAATGAGGGAAATAGCACAAACTGATCTTTCTTTCTCTCTCCTTTGTTTCCCTGGTTAGGCCTGCCTATGGGTCTTTCAGCCTTCCAGTACTATAGTTACAGGCAGGAAAAGAGGAAATCATATAAAGAGGCTTTCAGTGAGGTGGCTACTCAGTTGTTAACTGGCCAGCTCCTGTGACAGGGAACCCTGAGAGAATTTGCTGCCCTTGGCATGATTCTTGGCTTTCTGATAAGGCCACTATCAAGAGATAGCTGGCTTCCACCCACTTTGCCACTCCGGGGCTTCAGGTTATGGCCATAGGGTAGACCACACCTCCTGAGGCTTGACATAGCTCCTTAGGGTGCTCCATTGGCTTAGCCTTCCAGAAGGACCCTTACTTTATCAGTCACTTCAGTCTGTTGACAGCCTAAGTGACCATCTTTCTTCTGTTCTCTGAAGTAAGAAAATGAAGATGCTTATAACTGTGAGAATTGAATTCAATTTAACCTGACAGATGTTGACTGCCTGCCTTCTCTGTGCAAGGACAAGAGATTCTGTGTGCCTTCAAAGGGTGGCTGACCTGGTTAGAAGAGGGAGGAGCACAGTTATCTAGGCATTGCCAAAAAGATGGTGGGACACATGGCATCTCTGGATTTCTCCCATCTCTACATTTTCTCATGTGACTGTTCCTTTAAAGCCCCTCTGCCCCCATTTGTTTCTCTCTTGGCATTAGAATCTTGTTCCATGGAGACTGCTGTCATGAACATATGCTGTGTTAGCAGCCATATCACCCAGGCTGCACAGGGGCCCAGACAAGGTCTGGGATTGTGGCAGGTGGGGACAGAGTACACTAGCCAAGACTGTTTAGCTGCAAATAACAGGTGCCAACTCTGCCTGCCTAGGCAAAGAGCAGAGTTGTCCTGACAATGTAGGGCTTCCCAGAGTCCCTTCTTACCCAGGCCAGGGGTGTGATTGGAACTAGAAAGGGACAGAAGGGACAGAAGCCCTCCAGATCCTCTCTTTCATGCCTGTATTTCTCAGTACACTTCCTGCTCCTTTTCCAGAACACAGGCTATCTCTGCCCTCTGACCCTGAGCTGGCACATGGCTACCTTAGGGCTCACATTTATAGAGTACAATTTCCTTACCCAGAGAGAAGGACCCAACTCTTTCTGAGGCCCGGGCTGAGCTCTTGGCAGGAGGCCCAATCTGGGATATATGGTTCCCTTCATGTTCCCTGATGGATGTACCTGCGCCATGGAAGAAGGAGCCCCAAGAAGTGTCTACTGCCTGGAAAGGACAACTAGTTCTTTCATTTTTCTTCTTACTACCTCCAGTTTGGCTTGAGTAGGAGCAAGAGGGATTGAAAGGAGTCCCTGCAGATGCTTGTACTTCTGTAGAACAGCGGCATGAAGTGGTTCCAGGTAGACTTGCCTCCCCTAGTAGGCTGTGAACATGGACTTTAGACTTGAAAGTTTATTTTTAAGTTTTTGGTTGGTTGGTTGCTTTGTGTGTTGCTAAGGATGGAACCCAGGACCTGTACATGCTAGGCTAGTGTTCCACCACTGAGCTGCACCCCTAGCCTGTAGATTCTCAAGTTTAGAAGCTAAACAAAACATTGGAACATTTTGAAGGTGTAGTCGCAGGACTAAGCTGGATTTTGAATTGGGCGAATGGCAGTGGAGCAGCTTGCTGGGGCCAGGCTCTGTGGAGCTAGGGGTGGGTGAGTAGAGCAGGCTGAGGCAGCAAGACTCTCTAGCTAGTCCTTCTGGACAAGCTCCGCAGTCACCTTCTGTCCTCCTCAGAATCCAAAAGGAAGTGTTGGCCAAGACAGGCTGTTCTGATGCCACTGTGTGACCTTAAGTCCCTAAGTATGCAAATTGAGTAAGTGCATCAAGGAAAGTCAGGCTGAGCTGAAGTCATCCGCTTGCCAGTAACAAGGTAGGCTAGGGGCCGGGGATTTGGCTCAGGGATTCCGCCGCCTGCCTCGCAAGTGCAAGGGCCTGAGTTCGATCCCTAGTACGAGGGGTGGGAGGCTAGACATGCTCAGCTTCAGTATTATACTGTTTGTAGTAAGTGGTATGCATGTTATAATTAAGGAGGTTTGGGCCAGGGATTTAGCTGGGTGATGCTGCACCTGAGTTTAATCCCCAGTACGAAAAATAAATAAATAAATAAAAATTAAAGAGGCTTTTTGGAAACTGACCTTTTAACTTTGAAGGGGTCTATTGGTTAAGAGTTTTTGTAGCTACTTCAGAGTTGGTTGGAATACATTGCTGGAGGCAAAAAGCTGACAGACTAAGCAATGGTGCCAGGGGCGCAAGAGGTGTTACTCCCTTCCCGGGTACCTACGTATGGTCGGGGGGACAACACTGGAGGGGACCTTGTTTCTGAGGAGCCCTTTGGATTACTTCTGGTTTTGAATCTTTCCTTCTTATTAACTAGTTTATTTGTTTTTATTTTTGCTCTCCTGGAGGTGGAACCAGTGCCTTCTAAATGCTTCCAAAAGCACTCTACCACTGAGCTACTCCCCAGCCTCCAGGATTTCTTTTTTAATCTAAGAGTTACATAAGTCAACAAAAATGGTAATCCGTTCACATTTCTGCTCTTTCATCTCTGTGTAGTTTTCATTTAAGGGAGACTAGTAGTTGTGCTTTCCATAGATGTTTCTATTTGGACGAACATGTTGGCATCATGGGCAGCACGTTGGAATGGAAGAAACGTGGGGCTGGGTCAGCACTTCTAGGAGTGAGCCCCCATCACTGTCTATGGCCTGGTTCCTGAGGGACTCCTGCACCTCTGTGCTGAAGCTATCTCATCTGCCAGCAACTGGCTGGGCTAGGCAAGCTCACCTTCAGCAGTCCCTGCTCTATTGAGGAAACCTAGAATTAGCTTTGATTTCTCATCAATTTCAGCACATCAATTTCTCCTTTCCTTTCTGCTCAATTTGCCTATGGTTCCTGTCTTCTTTGATGAGGGTAGGTGTCCTACTGGGAGCCATTGAGCTGAGCCTTCCACTCCTTTCTGCTAACAGCCCCAGCAATTGATTTCCTTGTGATTAGGAAAATGCCTGCATCTTAGGATGCACTGTGGTGCTTAGGTGTTATTTCTCTGCCTCTTCTCCAAGGAAATACATGCTGAATTAAGTTTTGTGTTTTTGTTCATGCTCAGCAGCACCACTGAAACCAGGATTTCACCAGCCGCGCGATTGCAGGAGAGGAACAGAATAGGTTTTTCCAGTGTGCTTCACGCTGGAGTACAGGAGAGCATTGGCCTCAGAAAGGACCTGGGGTGCCTTGCCAGCTTCAGAGCAGCCTAGGTAAGAGCTGCTTCTTCATAGGCCTTCCTCTCTTCTCCCAGGCGTGGGCAGATGCCTTTCGGAGCAGTCCTGACCTCACTGGTGTGGTGCACATATACGAGGAGCTGAAGAGGAAGGGGGTTGAGTTTCCCATGGCAGACTTGGACGCTCTGTCTCCCATCCACACTCCCCAGCGGGTAAGCTTCCAGCTGGCATTTTCTAGAAAAACCGACTGCAAAATGGGTGAGCCAAGCTGCTGCTACCACCCTTCTGCCACTACCTTTGAATTATTCAGCTTGTCATCATGCTTTTTTAAAGCTCCAGGGCATTTCTTTTTAATAACAAGGGGACTGCAGGAATAAGACAGCTGGTTGACTGGTGATTAAGTGGCAGGGGTGTTTCCCCCCTGGTTTTCACACTGACTATGGAGGAATATAATAGAGGGATCAGTTCAGGGTTTTCTGGAAATGGCTGCTGGGTGGAGCCTTCCTTGAGGGTCATTAGCACCTGCTTTGGAGAGGCCTGGAGAATGTGGTGTGAAGATCTGTCCTCATTCCCCTTGAGCCCCAGAGCACCTCAGAGTAGTGCACTTGTGGGTGACATTATTCATCAGGGGCAAAAACCAGCTTTCAGTTTTTTCAACTCTGTAAGTCAAATGAATTTTTCAAAATATGGTGCTAGGCATTCAACCCAGGGTTTCACGCATAGCCCAGTCAAAGGAAGCTTAAATGTATTTTGAGCTATGAACATTCAGCATTAGTCCAAGCATCATATCCCAGCATTATATTCCTTCAGCTGTGAGATTCAAAGCTCAGGAAAGTCCTGGCTAGGAGCATCCCACTGTAGCTCCAACAATGCTGTCAGTGCACAGGGCAACTCTGCACTTCAGAATTAAGAGAATACAGGTGGCCAAGCATGGTAGACTAAAGCAGGATGATCAAGGCCAGGCTAGGGATGTAGCTCAGTGCCAAGCCACGAGTTCAATCTCCAATACTGAAAGACAAAGGGGAAAAAAAGGCACACAGGCTGTGCCATTCATGATTACCCAGGCAGGTTAGTCCTTCTGCTGGCTGGGAAGCAACTCCTTATCCCAGAGAAGAGTGGAGAAAGCTCCAGGATCTGGAGAGGTTCTGCAGCCCAGCCTTTCCCCATCTGCCTGTCTCTGAAATGGGGCCTCAAAGAGGTAGTGTGCTATGCTGTCTCTTGTAAACACGTGCACACACGTTCATGAGGTTATATCTGAGATGCCCCAGGGGAAGGCACAAGGACTTGTACTTTTCCAAAGCATTATTCACATTATGATTCCTCCAAACCACTTAGTAGGCTTTGTGGACTAAACATAACCTGCTTTATTCTCCTAATAATGACATGGAGCAGTGTTGTTGTTCCTATAATTATAAAGAACATTTGGTAAATTGCATAATTGCTATTTATATTAGTCTACTTGTAAAGGCCAAAATGTAATCTTTTGGTGCCAAATAAGGATTCGTGATTAGCAAAGCTTATTACAGCCCTCACTCCTCTTGGATCCTGAGGTGGTCTTCATAATAGAATCATGATCAGAATGGCCTTTTTGAATTATGTTGGTTGTCTTTTGCAAACTCCTTGTGAGATGAGTGGATAGAGGAACCACTTAGTGACTCCATTGCCTGGCTGGGACGCTGGGTGGGCCCAGAGGGGTTCCATGAACTCTGAGGGAAAGCATCACCTAACCTGGTTGTGCTGCTGGGCCAGTCACATGGCAACCCAACTGAGCCTAGGACTTTGTTGTTGTCCTGCCAGAGTGTTCCAGAAGTGGATCCAGCTACGACCATGCCCAGGTCCCAGTCACAACAGAGGACAACTGCTGGCTCCTACTCCTCACCTTCTCCTGCTTCCTACTCTGCTCCTCAGGCCCCAGCTCTGAGTGTGACTGGCCCCATCACAGCCAACTCAGAACAGGTACTTGCATGCTTCTGGGCCTCAGGGAAACCAGGTGACCACCTTCTTTCACTTTCTGGGAGATACATACAGAGGTTTCTTCAGACCAGGCACTATGCTGGCTGTGGTGACACAAAGGGGAAAGGGCCCCTTCCCTGAGGGAGAGAGATACAAGACAGTCATGATAGATTGTGGTCATGCCATGGTAGGGAGTAGAGCAGAGTGCTCTGTGAGCCAGGGTTGAGCAGTGCTTGGCAGGCATCCCAGAGCTGAGCACTGCGAGTCCTGAAACCAGTATGGGTTGTCAGTGAGTGCAAGCGGTGGCCTGGAGCATGCAGAGCACAGAGGAGCAGCCTCCTTCAGGGAATGGCAAGTAGCCCAACTGCAGGGTCAGTGCACCTGTAGGGCCTGAGTAGGGGAGAAAATAGTGTCAGAAAGTGAGGCTAAAAGCAGAGGACTGCAGTTGAGTTGTGAACAGTCTTATCTGTCACAATGAGAGTTTCACATCAATTCTATAAGAAACATTAGCTGTCAGAGACCAGTGTCCCAACCAGCAAGGTGCCTATGGAGGCAGAGGCTGCCATCGGGGAGGTCTTCCGGAAGTACTCTTCCTATCCTATCCTGAATACTTCTCCCTTCTACAGGTCACTTCCTGATGAGCTGATGCCACATTACCCCAAACTGGATATTTTTAGATGAGTTTTGGAGCCTGGTCCTAGATGAACCAAAGAATTTCCAATAAATTTCAGGATTGGCCAGACTTGGAAAATAAATCTATCCAGTGTTTGTATTTCAAAACCCTTATTTCCTGTTTGTGACAATGTCTTTATTATGAAACTTCACTGAAACAGAGGGGTCAGTCAGTTGAGTATAGGTGACAAGTGTTCCAGGACCATGTCATTGTCACATCTCTGCCAGTGCTGAGGGAAGAGTATGTTGTGAGCAGGAGGCAAACCAGGAGTCAGGCTTATAGGCTTGAGCTACTCCCAGTGAGGCTTTGGCGGGACAGCGCGTCAGTCTCCTGTCCATTAGAATGGACACTAACCCTTCCTACCTACCCATAGGGCAGGTGGACCTGCTCCTACACTCTTCACTGCACACTGCTCTTCATTTGGTGTCAGTGGAGACAGGCTATCGGTGAAGAGGGCTCCATGGATAACCTCCCTTTCCCATTCAGTTCTCTCCAAACTGAGGTCTCCTCACAGGCAGACCAGAAGGAGATGGGAAAGTTGCTCTTGCAAAGTGCGTGCAGAAGGTGACTGAATATCGTAATGGGCAGGACTGCCCCTGCCCATAGTCTGGCTCGTTTTGATCTCCCAGGCACACCTGGCTGACCTCTCCTTCCTGCTTTCCTCCCTGTGACCCAAAGATTGCCAGGCTGCGGAGTGAGCTGGATGTGGTTCGGGGAAACACAAAAGTCATGTCTGAAATGTTAACAGAGATGGTTCCTGGGCAGGAGGACTCATCTGATCTGGAACTGCTGCAGGTGAGGAGGACCTCATGTGTGGGAGGGCTGCTTTTCTACCTGGGAACACAGCTGGGGACTCGACTATGTATTGGCACTGTTGTCAAGAGGGACTAAGTTGGCCCACACTCTGCCTCATACTTCCTGGGCATGGGCAGAGGCCAATAGCACCCTCTGCCTCTTTTGTTTCCCTTAATAACATTTTTCTTGATTATAAAATGCTAGTTATAGAATACATGGTTATCCCCCCAAAAAAGAAAGAAAATAGAGAAGGAAATAATTTTCTTTTAACCCAAGCAGTCACAGTAAGTGCTGTTGAGGTTTTGATTTTTTAATTTTTTTGTGTGTGGTTTTTGTTTTTTGTTTTGTTTTGTTTTTGTTTCTTTTTTATTGAAAACCGAACTCAGGACCTTGTATTTGCCAGGCAGGCAAGGTGCCACTGAATTGCATCCCCAGCCCTTGATGTATTTTCTTTCAGACTGTTCGCCGTGTTTACTGTAAATCTAGATGAGATGCTCTGATAGGAATTGGTGTGGCCCTGCTCCCTCAGTGTCATGTCATAGACATCTCTGCATCAGGCCCTCTCTGGCCTAACAAAATGTGGGTTCCTTTTCTTCTCCCTCACTCCTGAGGGAGGAATTCCTGAGACTGAAAAGAACTTGAAGCTTCTGTTCCCTTCCCAAATACTGAGTATGCCTAGGTTGAGGGGCTCGCACTGTGGTTCCTGAGGAACTGTTGCCCCTTGGCTTTCCTGCATTCTGGATACCCCATAAATATGTGAGTGTGTGTGTGTATGTGTGTGTGCGCATGTGTGCACATGCTTCTGGGGATTGAATATGCTAGGCAACCCTCTGCCACTGCGCTATACTCCCCCAACCCTTACAAAATTTAAGCATAGCAGGAAAGGGTCTAGGAGCAATTGGCCTGAGATTAGATAGGGGTGTCCTCAGGCCTGGCCCTGAGCCAGCGGGCAGATACCTACTATAAGTTTCAGATGACTCTAGAATTTGAAGAAAATGGCAGCAGTACTGCCTTAGGAGCAATGACTTTCTGGAAGGGAGAGAACGATGCTGGGAACTATAAATGCCACATCTTTCCAGCAGGAGGCAAGATACCTGAGTGTCGACAGGTCAGGTGCCAGACTGGCTTAGCAACCTTGTATGAGTGCTTCTTGACATACCTGCTGCTGCTGCTGCTGCTGCTGCTGTTTCCATCTTGTACTCTGTCATCCATCTTGATCTCTTGAGTGTCATACCTCCCACCCTGCTGTTGGCATGCATTGGGAAACACGACTGATGACCCTGCCCTTTTGGAGTGAACATGCCCACTGGCTTGGCCTGGCCGTGTGCTGCTTCTCGGAGTGTCCTCTCCACCAAGAGGCCATCATTTCCTCCAGAGATAAGGATGAGTGGTGGCCTGTACTGGGTCCTGCACAGAGCACAGCTCCAGGGCCACATAGAGTCAGAAGCCCGGGACCTTGCTGTGAAGGAGCTCACAGCTTTAATGCAGGAGATAGACAAGGTAACCTGACTGTAACCTGACTGTCAGGCTACTCCAGGCCTAGCCCTGGTGTGGAGCCTCCCCAATTCCCAGACCACACTCCTCTGACCAGACTCGTTCAGCTCAGCAGGGACAACTAACTGTCCATGTGCCACACTCTGTGGACCTCCCCCTTTAATGTGTCATCATTGACCTCTGTTTCCAGCCTGCAGCAGTGGCTCTGCCAGGCATTACCCAGATGTGCAGGAATCTGAGGGCAGTTCAGGGGCCTCCTGAGGAAATTTTATGCTGTGTCAGCGTCGGAATTCCTGCTGACGGGATGCGGGGAGCAGTGGGTGTTACTCTGGCAGAACAGCTCCTGGCAGCAGGGGAAGGGTTGAACAAAGCCAAGATGCTTCCAGACAGCCAGAGCAGATCCAGACAGCAGAAGTACTCTCTCTCCCCCCCCTCTCTCTGTCTCTGTCTCTCTGTCTCTGTCTGCTTTTTTGTTTTTTCTTTTTGTTGTTGTTGTTGTTGTTGTTGTTGTTGTTGTTGTTTTAATGCACTCATCAGCCAAGACAAACAGAACCTAATCTCCTGGCATCAGCTCACAGTTTTCAAAAATAGGTTGCTTCCCATGACGTTTTCTTTCCCTCTGTTTTGTTCTAACTTTGAGCCTCCTAGGCCCACTGCTGTCATATAAATCAAACAGAAAAAGATCGACTTGGAGCCCACAGGAGGCTCTCCTTTCAGCTTGGGAGATGTGGGAGTGGGCAGAACCGTGTGAAGAGACTTAGCTCTCCTGGCTGGTGGCCATGTGCCTGACTTACTCCCTCCTCTCCTTCCCCAGCAGTCAGAAGACAGCAGGCCAGGGGCCCCAAGGGTGGGTACTACACAGAATAGTGAGCTTCTGCACAGGAAAATGCAGTCTGGGATCAGAATCTGTCCCCAGTACTCCTCAATCAAGCTAGAGGGCAGCCTGAGAACTGGGGAAGAAGCAGTCTAGAGCTAAGTGCTGGCCAGGGCAGAGGAAATAAACACATTTGTCACAATCCCAAATGTCTCCACCAACAACAGCTGCTTCTGATTCAAGTGTAAAGTACTGGCTAGGAAGCAGGGAATGGGAAGAGAAGTAACTGTAGGAGTCAGCCCCAGGATGCACCAGGATAGTCAATCATAACTGTGGACAAGTTATGTACCAGTATTCCCTGCACATTTCAAAGCTCTCGAAGGTGTATCTTCCCACATTCTGGCAGAAGCAGCAGGGAAGCTTGCGAAGCAATTTACCTGGGGACTCAGGGCAGCAAATGGCTGTTATCTGAGTGGAGGCTGAGGCCACTCTAGCATCCTGTGCTGGCAACTTAGTGAGAGCCCCTGTGGAAACGGGAGCAGGATTTTGGGAGTGAACATAGCCACGCATCCCCAGGTGTCAAACCCTCCCGTTGCTGACTTGAGAGAGAGACCTGGGCAGCTAGTCTGCCCCGCTTTGTGCACAGGTTTCCTCTCTAGCATCATGCCTAGTGTCTACCTGGTGTGTCTCACATCCCCAGGGGCAGGCTTTTCCCACAGTCCATGAAAGCACTTCTGTCTTCAGGCAGGCTCTGGTTAAACACTGGAAACAGCATAGAGGGTAGAGAGAGCACAGTTTATGAATCACCGAGTGCAATCCTGGCTCTCTCACTGATGAGCTAGATGACACTAGGCAAGTCACAGGCCCTCTTGGAGCCCATTTCTCCTCCTTTGGCAGCCTAGAGTGATTATTTTCACTTTAAAATGCCTGGCATAGGGCCAGGTCCGAGCAAGTCCTCTGCAAATTATAGCTTGTAAGCTATAACCATTGTTAAAAAGCCCTCCTGTACATTGAGCTCAAGACTGTCTCCCTGTAGCTTTGACCTTGGTATAGCTCAGATAACAGAACAAAACTAATTTCTCTTTCACAGGGATAGATGCTTACGTATTCAAAAGATTTCTATAAGCCCTGCCTATAGCCCAGTCTACATGGAACAGGTGCAGCTGTTGGCAGCTCATCTCATAGAACAGCTCTTCACATGAGGTTGACATTGTCAAGCGGAGAGCTTCTGTCATCCCAAAATCCTGGCCCATCCCTTTTTGGTGTAGTTGCTTTTAGGCTGCATCTTCTGAATCCTGTATGTGGACGTCTAAATCCAGGACCATGATGCAAACTGCACCTGTCCCTGATAAAAGTGCACATCTTAAAGACCTCCATTCCTCTGGCCTCTGTCTCTTGATTTAGGCTTTTCACTTTTGTCTTCAGTTAATAACAGCTTTTAATTAATCCATTACTCCCCCAAAATGGATGTTCTTATATGGCCACCCATCAGACAATAAAAGAAGCCATCCTCCTTGTTGTTCTTCCAAGTAGCAGATGGTATAAACCACTCCCTCCCCTTCTTGCATCTCATTGCAACAAACACAAAATGACCAAGGCCATTTTCTCTGGAGAAATCTAGTGTATTATACACGTTTAGCTTCATTATTCCCCCGTTCCCTCAAACGATTTTCTTCTCCCTCTTGTCTCCTCCACAGCAGGACACATATTCGAGACCTTATTCCTTGCTCCCCAGAACTGGGAGAAGTTTCAGAGGAATCCACAAAAATGGTTAAAAGACTATTTTGTGAGATGGACCTGAAATTGTCCCCCCCAAAAAAGATAAAGACATTGGGATTAGCTAGACAGAAAAGAGAGATTATTTCATAAACTATTCTGGTAGATGAAGGCCATTGCATGAGTTACCAGCTGTTCTACCCCTCTGTTGAGAATCAGAGGTAGGAGGAAGCCAGGGCTAAAATCTCTGGCTTGAGAGAATTCCTGTCCCCACTTTTGCACAGTGGAAAGGGTGACCCAGCCAAGCTGCTGGCTCTCAGGTGCCTAAGTCTGAAAGAGTCATTCACTCTGCCTGCGTGGTTTGAGGTAGGAGACAGAGGAAAGTCTCCAGCTGAACCTGTGTGGAGCTGGCTGAGGATGGCACTAGGAAGGCCATGAGGGTAGCCAGGTGGCATGGTAGTACAGAAATCTTAACATTCTGGTTCATCTTTTTTCTCTCTCTCTCTCTCTTTTTTTTTTTTTTTGTACCAGGGCCTTGAGCTTGCAAGGCAGGTGGCAGAACCATTGAGCCAAATCCCTGGCCCTCATCTCTTTTCTTTTGCAAGAAAGTAATTTAAAATATTGAGCCAGGCATAAGCCTGTAATCTCAGTGCTTTGGAGACTGAGGCAGGAGGATTGCTGTGAGTTCAAGACTAGCCTGGGCTTTGTAGAGAGTTCAAAGCCATCCTGAACTACACAGGGAGACCCTATCTCAAAAAACCAAAAACCCAAACAGACAAAAAATCTTACGGTCAGGAAATGGAAAACCTTTCTCTTTGCAAAGAGCCCTGATGCCGAATGCCTAGGATGGACTGTCTAATCTGTCTCTAGGTAGAGTGCTTAGGGAAGTCATTGGGATGCCCCTCCAGCAGGGTGGGAACCTAGCCACCACCCCAACAGGAAGGCAGTGAGAGGAGAGGCAGCAAATGCAAGGCCAAACAAGCTATTTCTTGTGCTCAGAGTCTTTGAGACCACTACATGGACTCTGCCTTTGGGTCTTCTTCTTCCTCCAAGCTGAGGACTTGATGTTAGAGCCTCAGGAACCCTCTAGTACTTTCCAAACAGTATTTGAAAGTCATGGAACACTTCTCCTCTGCAAATATAATTCTACAGAGAATGACTTTATTTTTAAAATACAGTGGATGCTCGTGTTATAACTAGCCTGACATAGAAACAACTTGGGTTATGACCAGAATTTTTTAGTTTTAACTTACAAGCAAAGTCTTGAGTTACGATGCTGATGTTGGCCGCTTGTGCTTCCAGATGGTCTCAGATACAGATTTAACCCTGAAGGAGTTCTGGAAGGAACATCACTTTCCTGGATCAATGTCTCTCTAAGGACACTGAGATCGCCTGTGTACAGGAGAGAGCATGGAAGGCTGTGTAGAGGAGCCTTCGCCTTCGCCTTCAGTTGACCAATTTGAGTTACAGCTGTCCTCAGAAACGAGTTGAGTTTGTAAGTCAGGGGTCCACTGTAGATGAAAACAGAGCTGCTTTGGCTGCCGAGGGTGAAGATATCATGGAGATCTTTGGGGCACCTCTGTGGTACTCTACAGAACTTCCTATGTATTCAGCCCCCTTATTTTACACAGAGAAGCAGAGTCCTGGTGACATGAAGAGCTTATTCATTCATTGGCTCCTTGCTACCTGCTGCTTGGTCCCTAACACCTAACAGAGGGGCTCTGTGGGGGAGAAGAGATGAGCCCTTACCCTCTTTTGTCGAGTGGTCCTGGTGCCTGGAGTGTTTGCAGCCATGTTTTTTAGACAGCCACACACTGAGGTGTTTGGTTTGGCTCTCTGAATCTGGGAGCCACCTCAGCATTGTTCTTGTAGTAGGGTTTATCTTTTTTTTTTCCATTAATTTTATTGGTACATTTTAGGTATATAGTATGCTAACATTCATTATTGGGAGTTTGTACCTTTACATAATATATCTTGGTTCTTATTTATTCCCCCATTCCCGTGCCCTCTGTTCCACCCACACACACCTCCCTATTTACAAAGACTTTGGTTACATTTTTTCCTTTTCTTATATTTATTCCTTTCCCATGCGCCTCCCACGTCCCCTTCCCCTTTGGACCTTTTGTACTGGGGCTTTCGTAGTGTGGGGTGGCTGGAGCTGGCCATCACTTGGAGACTCTAAGAGAGGAGCTCCAAGGACATTTTGAGGTGGAAGTTGCAGTGGAGGTATGTCTGGAGTGCTGAGAGATTCTTGAGGAAGGGGCAGCTGCGGGTCCCTGGCCAACATTCCAAATGGATGAAAAAGATGGATCAATAGACACATGGTAGGTCTGGCCCTGAAAAATGTTAATGGTAGAAAATTGATGGTAATACACTTATTTTACTTATATGTTTAACATTTTCCTGATGAAATACTGGGTCAGGGAAACATCTTCAGGTCTTGGGGGATGAATAGGAGTTGGTTTAGTGTAAATGAAGGGACATTTCAGGCTGAGAGCTCCCAGAGCCCCAGAGCAGTGGATAAATGTCTGAGGTCACCTGCTAACCTTGATGGTCTAAGGTGTGCTTGGACATGGTTTGTGGGCTCTAGCTAGTTGTACTTCAGGCTTTTGGAGAGGGCTCAGAACTGTGTACGATGACATGCCTCCATACTCCCCTTACTTGGAGATCTTATGGGTTGTCATTGGCTTGCAGTTTGGATGGAAATTGACTGACCTTTTTCTTTCCCTTTCCCAACCAAGTGTATCCAGACTTTGTTGCTTGGTCATAAGCACCAGACAGGGGCCACACTTTCCTGTCCTGGGCCTTTGTGGTAGGGTTTGCCTTTTCTGGAAAGAGTGTGCCCTGATGATTCTGCCTTCTCCAAAATCTAGGGTGAGAGACTTAAGAGAACCAAGAGTGCAAACCTATTTAGAGAAAAACCTAGGAGGTTTTTCTGGCTTTCTCTGATCAAGAGAGACTTGCAGCACCATTCTGGCTATGGAGAATTAGAACCAAGATGAAGGGCAGCAGTGCCATAGGCAGATAGACAGGACCCAGCAAGGTGACTAGACCCAACATCGAAGAGTCTCCAGGGAAGCTTTTTGTCAACATGACAAAACCAAAATTGTGAATACTCACTTGCTTAAATCCAGGTACCTTCTGCCTAGTATGTGTACTCAAGTGACTCTGGACTGATCCGCTTGGGTCAGGCCTCCATCTCAGCTACCCCTACTTTAGAGGAATGAGCTGTAGGGTTTAGCATCATGGGAGGAGGGACAGCAGCAGAAGCCAGTCAAGGTCCCCTACCATGCTCCTACTTTCAGGGACAGGCTCAAGGCACACAGGCCCAGGGGAGTGAGGTTGGAAACTACTGAGTGTGAGAGAACTAGAACCTGCCTTCACTCATTAATTCTCTCAGGAACACCTGGAAAATGTCCCTGTAAGTCAGTCGCAGCACTGGGGACATGGGAAAAGAAATATCAGGCCAGAGTTTAGAGGGGGAGGCAGATTCAGAGCCCAGCCATAATAATTCTGAGGGTGAGTGCTATGTTTCCTGGTGCTAGGGAGCCTGCAGAAGGGGCACCTTCCACTCCCTTCTTTGCTTGCCTGACCTCCTCAGTAGCCCAACTGAGCAGTGTGTGTGGCTCAGTGCCTGACTTCAGAGAACCGATGGGGGATAAAGAACAATGCCCCTCAAGGAGATTACAGTCTGGCAAGAGAGAAGACTACCCCAGAAAATGAAATGAAAAAAATAAAGAGCCATAGAGAGACATCATTGGCTCATTCGCTCCCTCCCTCCAGTGTCTGGGGAGATGGGGATAGCATCTCACCTCTGCCTTAACCCTAGTAGCCCAGTGGGATTTACAATTTTGTTTGTAGGTAGCTCCTATTACTTGAGAGGGTGAGGGGCCAGGCTGGCAGGCCTGCCACATCTCTGTAGCATTGTCAGTCTAGTATACAAGGAGCCTGGAAGGTTATTTGAGGGAGCTCCACAAACAAATTTAAACAAGAGTATTGGTAAGGCATTTATTCTAGGGCAATAAGGTCTCACGGAAGCCAGGCCATAAAGTGTAAAGCTCTGTTCTCAAAGGATATTGCTTCCAAGGGTCAAGAGGGTCCTGTGGTGACTTAGGAGTATGCAAGTGTTATCTTTGACTAACAAAGAGTCTTGTGGGGGCTTGTGGATCTTCTGACACCTTGGCAAGGATACAGACATGCCAGCAAAAGTTCCCTGATGCAATCATAAAATATACTCATGCCATTGCAGGAAATATAAGTAAAGTGATAGCATATTTTTGGAGGGCCTTTAACTATTACCAATCAGTATTCTAAATGGTTACACATACTGCCACCTAGAAATTCCACCTACAAAGAGCACTTGCACAAAGGATATAAACATCACACGTATAAAGTCCAGGCTGCATTGTTTGGGTTCCCCCCAAAAAAGAGACCACAAGCCATGTGCCCCACAACAGGAGAATAGTAAGATGCATTATGACGCACACAAAGGAATGAGGCAGAGTGTACAAAGTAATAGGGAGCCAGGTGTGGTGGTGCACACCTGTAATCCCAGCACTCGGGAGGCTGAGGCAGGAGGATCACTGTAGAGTTCGAGACCAGCCTGGGCTACATAGTGAGTTCCAGGTCAGTCTCAACTACATAGTGAGAACGTGCCTCAAAAAACCAAAAACAACAACAACAACAACAACAACAAACAAACAAACAAAGTAATAGGGAAAAGGGTCTGAAATATTTTGTTAAAGACAAAAAGCGAGCTGCAAAGAATCATATTTTTATACTTTAAAAATGGTTTGCACAAACATATGCTTATCTATACACAATAGTATGTACCTGTGGACATTTGAAAAAGTACTGTGTCCTCTGGGCATGAGAGGCAGACAGCAACGAGTGAGCTTTTACTCTGTATTCTGCACACGTCTGGTTTTATGAAGAAGCATGTATTCCTTCTGTGACTTTTAAGAATCAGTACAGATCTTTTCAAAGGCACTAGAACGTGACAAAAAGCATTCCCAGCAGGCTATGCAAAGGTGCTTGTGTTCCCTAGGAGCTGAACAGGACCTGTCGGGCCATGCAGCACCGCATTGTAGAGCTCATCTCCCGTGTGTCCAACGAGGAGGTCACTGAGGAGCTGCTGCATGTCAATGATGACCTCAACAATGTCTTCCTCCGCTACGAGAGGTAGGAGCAGGCCCTTGAAAGGATTGTTGTCATAACAGAGGGATTTCTTTCATAAACAAGGAGAGGGGGAGAGGGAGAGGGAGGGGGACAGGGAATGAGGAGCGAGGGAGGGAGAGAGAGAGAGATTAGAGTTAGAAAATACTCATCAGAGATGCTAATTTTTTCCCAGATGACAGAGAAAATGCTTCTTGTTCTCCTGGGAACAGAGCAGCAAGAAGTTGATGTGCAGAGTTGGGCTCTGCCCTTTGTAAGCCTTTGGCTGCTCTGCCTCTCCCCTAGGACCCCAGCCCCAGGGAAGGCTAGGATGGAGGGGGGCCTGGGCCCAGAGCTGCTGCACCTGCTCCTTTGATGATCCTTTGAATTTGAAAAGGATTAAAAGGGGGGTGGGACAAAAAACAAAATCCTCTACTAAGAAAAAGGATTTCCTCTTTCCTATCTTGAAAAAAGCTAGAATTTTCCCTTTGTAAATGTCAGTGTGCCTGGAGTGATCAGGAGAAGCAGGCAGAGTATAAGGGCTGAAATGCTGTTGCTGCTTAGGGAAACACACATTTCTTTTAGGTCTTCCTGCAGCCAAATCATTTTTAGTCTTAAAGCAACAAACTTGCAAATTCTTTTCCTTTTCCAAAGCCTTGCATGGGACAGGTCCAAATTGTATGATTTGGACTGGGCTGTCCTTTGGGCTTTCCTGAGTAGCTCAGTGTTAGGACCAGAAAGGACCTTAACCAGGCCAGCCTTCTCTCATTTATGACAAGGGCCAAGAGGACGGGACAGCAGCCTAAGTCCCCTGGAGTCTTGGGGTCCCTCTAGGTGACTCAGAGCTTCCTGGGTGGATTGGCCAGGAGGACAAGGACCGGCATCAGTTAGGACAACAGGTTGTGTGTTTACATTTCCCTTTAGGAGCTCAGAGGATGGTAGTATGATGGTTATCACATCTCAGAATTGTCTCAGCTTCTGCCTGTGACAGTAAGGATGGGTGGCCCTGTGCCGTCTAACAGATGAAGTTGCCTCTGCACTAGGAATGTAAGCCACCCATAGTGTGTTGGCCAGATAATAAAAACAGTTCACAGAAGCCTTGATTCAGCTTGGTTTTGACCTGTTAGGACCTATTTAAGCCCTTGCTATTATAGGATAACGGGAGCTAGTGTGGGCATTGTCACTCATAAGTTCACCTGTCCTGGTCTTGACAAAGGACACAGAGGTACTGCCCCGGGGTGAGCAGCCCTGCAGTGCCATCCCAGTTAGAGTACCTTGGGAAGACTAATAGTCTCTCAAAGAAAGCATGGGAAAGGTACCCCAACAATCGGTGTTTCAGATGTGTTAATATCCCTGCCCTCCTAAGAGACCCCTGTTGAAAATATCATACAAGTCGAAACTACACTGACCAGTCAGGTCATTCTTCCTGGTGGTGCTTTGCTACCAGGTGCTGGTGGGCAGCAAAAAGAGCAGAAAACCATCCCAGGCTCTGGCCAGAGAAGTCTCCTGGATACCTCTTGGTCCGTGGCATTTGGTCTATGGCATTTGGAGCTTTTAAATACAGTGCAAAATTGAATCTGTTGACCCCCCACAGACCTCACAACTGTTGGTATATTCACTACCGATGTGAGAATGATAGGTGTGGCAGAGGGGACACTTCCTGAGGTTGCCCACAGTCAAGCCCCATCTATAGCCATCTACTGACTGGGCACAGAGGAGCTACCTGTCTGGCCCAGCAGAGCCTCCGGTCCTACCCTTCTGGCAGCCACTGGGTGGTTGGCCCAAACCTCTCCACAGCTCCCGGCCAGCCTTTTCTCCAGGTGTAGCCAGGGTCTGTGCCTTTCCTCTCCGTGCCACCTCAAACATGCCCTACCCATTTTCATCCAGAAGTGGAATTGGGGGCTGTCAAGCAAAAGTAGGGAGGGGTCTGCAGTTAGTCCCTGGCCTTGTAGATAGACATGTGGGATACCTCCAGGTCAGGTGGTTGACTCAACTTCCTCTTCATGGGGCAGAGCAGCACTTGGGGCCAGGTGTGTGAGGTAATGGTTGGGATGCTCTTGCTGGCCTCCTCAGTGTACTACACAACACTTCCTCCCTAAGACCAACCAGTTTACCTGTGGGAGAGGTAGGGAGGCTGGTCCCCCTGAAGGGTGGAGCCCAGCTTGGAAAAAGGCGTAACACAATTGTACATGTGGGATCTACTCTCACTGCGCACATGGGACTGTGAGCACTGCAGCCCCTACACAGCCTCCCATGCTACTTACTTTTCTGTTTTCTTTCCCTGTTAGGTTCGAGCGATACAGGTCGGGCCGATTGGTTCAGAACGCCAGCAATGGAGTAAGTGAGAACCCTCATTCTGAGGAGGCCATCTGCAAACACATTTGATACTTGCCCTGGTTGGCCTCCCTTCTAGTTTTTCTAGAGAGGGCTAAAATATTTGGATAACTGTGGGGTACACTCTGGTTAGAGGAAGCCTAGAGAATGCTGGCTTGCACTCAGGGTGGCAAAAAACCTAGATCTTCAGCTCCCAGGACCTCACTGACCTGTGACTCTTTTAAATGGGAAGGGAGAGGAGGCCAGCAGGCAGCTCACTGATAGCCAGGGCACCCATGAATTCTGAAAGAGGTGAGGAAGCCACCTTGCATCTGTGTGGGGCCATGTTGATGCTTTTTCTTGTTTGTTTGGTGTTTTTGGTACTAGGGGTCAAACATGGGTCCTTGTGTTTGCGAGGCAGGCAGTGGAACCACTGAGCTAAATCCCGGCCCTGTTGATGTCTTTTCTTACAAAACCCTACACAATGTCTGCCACATTCACCTTGGAGCTCCCTAAGCACTTGGCCCTTAGCCCCATCTCCTGCCCCACAGGTACTCAACGAAGTGACTGAAGACAACTTAATAGACCTGGGCCCTGGCTCTCCTGCTGTGGTGAGCCCGATGGTGGGAAGCACAGTGCCCCCCTCTTCCCTCTCCTCACAGCTGGCAGGCCTGGGTGAGTGTCTCACTGCTATGTAAAGGGGCTTCCAGTGTGGGCTTCCCTCATGGCTGTGTCTCTGATGGAGTGCTGAAAGAGAGCATTTTGGGGAATCTCTGTGAAGGTGTGTTTCTGAGTCCTAGACAATTGTACAGCTTTAAATTCATAATTTATTTCCTGAAATTTGAAGTTTAAACTCAGGTTAGAGAGCAGAGGTAGGGAAAGTTCCAAGTTTCAGTATTAAACAAGCCAAGGATGGTGAGTAGATTTCAGCTTATTAGCTGCTTGGAATGCAGGTTTGATGCTAACGCCACATCAGGACCTAAAAGATAATATGTGATAGATTGGAGATGTCTACAGTGGGCAAAACAGGAGGTGACAGCACTGGCAGATGTGTCTCCCCTTCTCAAACTACTCCATTAACCGAAACTGTTCCTTTGTGAAACTTAGGAGAAATTCCCACCTTTGCACAGTAAGAGTGTGTACGACTCAAGATTCTTCATTTATACCAGATAATACCAACTTAGAACAAATAAAATGGTAATACCGACATAACTAGCAAACATGGCCCTCAAAATTCTGTTTTCCATCCTGCTTTTGTTTCGTTTTTTCGTAGTATTTATCTTTCTTACTTCATTTTACTTCAGTGGAATTATACTTTTATTTAAACTGGGCGTGGTGGCACGTACCTCTGATCCCAGACCTGTGGGAGACTAGATAAGGGGATTGAAAGTTCAAGCCCAGCCTAGGCAAATTAGCAACTTAGTGAGAACTTGTCTCAAAATAAAAAATAAAAAAGAACTAGGCATATAGGTCAGTTGAAGGCCCTGGATTCAGCCCCAGTACAAAAAAAGAAAGAAAACCACCCCAAAAAACCTTTATTTGGTGGCCCGGTAGTTGCTGGAATTCGTCATCTTAGTATTTCCTGTATCTGTAACCACCATTTCCCTATCAGAACAGTTCTCTGCCTCTAGTCCATCCAGACTATGACCACCAGATTTAATACTAAAATTCAAAAGTGCTACCTCTTTTTAAAGAATGTCTAGTGTTTGCCCATCAACTCCTTTACCTGGCCCTTGAGGCTCATCACTGGCCATCTCCCACCCGCCTTCCCAGCCTCCTCCACTCATCTCCCCCTTGAGCAGTGATACTTCACGCAGCCTGGCCTTCCAGGTCCTGTCTCCTTTTTCCTATCTTCACCTTGTTCCCCAGCATAGCCCCACTTACTGTAAAAGGCCTACCCTTGTGTCGGTTTTGAGTCTTCCCTAACTCCTTCAGCCAAACGTAGCAGTTGTTTGCCTCTGTACCACCTTCTTGGTGACCTTCCTAAGGCCAAAGACCATGTCAGATTCCTCTGGGTCCACAGGAGGTCTGACTCTGAACTTGATTGTTGACTGTGAAGTAGGTGCCGAATAAATAAGCAACCCAGGTCTATAGATACTGTGAATGAGGACCCCTGAGAATGGTGCTGTGGGAAGGCTGCAAGTGCTCCAGCTCCTCCCTGCTTCCTCACTGCTGGTGGACTCTCCCTTTTCCTCATGACACCTTTCCACCTTAAGCAGCTGGGGGACCGTACTTTTCTGTCTCCCACAGGCTTGTCCTTGTTGTACTGGGAATGCTGAAGATTGTCTTATCCTCCTCACAGGCCCTTAGCCTGCCCCCCTTAGGTCCTAGCTTTGGAGCCCTATCAGGTCCACAGTCCGCATTTTGTTCTCACCTGCTTCTTATTTGTTTTATTGTCACAGATTTGGGGACAGAGAGTGTCAGTGGCACCCTCAGTTCACTCCAGCAGTGCAATCCTCGTGATGGCTTTGACATGTTTGCCCAGACCAGAGGGAACTCCTTAGCTGAGCAGCGTAAGACGTATGTGGGGCCCCTCCAGTGGCTGTCTAAAGATGTTGCGGGAGGTTGTAGGGGGAGTTCGCTCAGGTCTGGTCACAGTGCATCACAAAGAAGCCTTTTATTTACCAGATCCAGGAATGCCAGGAACTTTAAAATATGGCTGTGAAGACTTGGCATTGGCTGCAGATGCTGAATGAATGCCAGCCACCCTCCCAGTCTTCTCTGCCCTTGGGGTTGATTGTGATGTTAGTTCTCCTGTCAGTTATGGGAGTCCACTCTTCTTTTCTCTCCTGCCTATGTTACAGCTGCAGATACCACCTTACCCAACCCCTCCTCTGCAGGAGGAGCTCAGATACAGGAGGATGTAACCAGGCAGGGACCCAAACGTGTGCCTAGCAGCAATATTTAACTGTCAGGAAAATGTGGAGAGAGCAGAGGCTTTTCCAGTAGCCACTCTGGCGAGGATAAGCTATATGGAGTTGGGGGAGTTGATTCCAAAGCAGACAATCCCCTGCATCTCAGAAAGGCACAGAGCGTGCTCTGAAGTTTCTCTTCAGCCCGAAGATGATTACTGCTTATAAAATTAAAATTACTGTGCTTTTTTATCTAGCTCGTCTCTCTGAGGAGCTCCAGGGCACTTTTATTTTGTTTTGTTATTTTGTCCTGTTTTTGTACCAGGGATCAAACTCAGGACCTTGCACTTGCCCGACAGGCGCTGTGCCACTGAGTATATCGCTGGCCCTCCAGGCCACTTTTGACACCATGCAACTGAGCATCAGAGAGGCCCCAGTGTTGTGACTCAAAAGAAAGACCATGAAAACCACAAGCCCCAGGTCCCAAAGGAGTTCAGTGGGAAGCTTGCACTCGAACCCAGTCTTGTTTCAGCTGCAGGGATACAACATGAGCCCTTAGCCTCTGTCCAGGCCACGGTCACACCTGAGAAAGGAGCCATAGGGTAGGAAATGAGTAGTGCCCCTGAGGGCACTCACTCTGACTGTGCTGCTTTGTCTCTAGGGTCACCTATGAAGACCCCCAGGCTGTTGGAGGACTCGCTTCTGCACTAGATAGTCGGAAACAGAGCTCAGAAGTGGTAAGTTTTCTATCCTGTGTTTTGGCCCATTCTTCTTGCAGGGAAAGTCAGGCAGTTTGGTAACGCTGGCTGGATAGTCCAGCAGAAGTTAGCTTGTATAGACAGCAGGAACCGACTGGGGAAGACACTTGGAGCACCTGTGTCCCACCAGGCAGTGTCTTGTTGAGACCTCCCCCACCCTGTGAGGTGACAGTACTATGATACACAAGAGAAACAGGCCCAGGAGGTGGAAGATGGGCCAAGGGGCGTGCAGAGAACAGGTAGCATGTAGGAATCCCATCCTGGGAGTTTCTGACTCAATAGCTCTTCCTGCTGCAGTGATAGGAAGCTCTTAGGACTCAGGTCTCCTGTGGCCAAGTAGAGCCTCTCTTCACATTTTACAGTGCCTTGGCTGAGCGGTACACTGACAACATAATGCTCTCACAGGGGAGGCGAGTACCAACCTGAACCAAATCTCTGAGTTGGTAGCTGGCCCAGCCAAGCAGTGTTACCCCAGTGGAGGGCAGCTGAGGGTCAGGATTTCTTCGGGGAGCTGGAGCAGTTAGGGAGCAGCTGGGAGGGTATCCTTGAAAGCTCCCAGTTTGGAAGGCGTAAAACCAAGAGAAAAGCACCTTGAAATAGAGAGGGTGGTACTTTTGTGGCCCCAAAATGCAACTGTGGTTTCTATAAGATTTCAGATCACTGAAGGAAAAAGGATTTGTGTCCAGTGCTTCTCCAGAGCATTTTCTTATCTGTGCCTGACTAGGAAAAATGTGTGTGGATACATGCTGTTTGCAGGGGCAGGGAGGAGACGGACTCTTGAGGCAGCTGCCTACAACAGCCGGAACTCCTGCCAGATTCCCCAGCTGGGTGGCAAGTGGGCAGTGCCACCCATCCAGTGTACAGGACAGTTTGCAAAGGATTCTTTGCTCCTCAAATGCCAATTCTTAGCCTTCTGCAATCCTTGTCCAAACAGGTCCAGACAGGCAGCATGGCTGTAGCCTGGCATCCTCTCCCCAGGCTCCTCTTCCCAGCTGGCCAAGCCCACAGGGGTGCATACCTCAGCACTGGCCACCAGGGGGCTCAGGAGAGCCAGTGGCTGCCTGGGGTTCTCAGTACCCAACCCTTCTTACTGAAAGGGCAGGAAGGGCAGGCAGTGCCAGATAACCCACCATCCAGCAATGTCTGTTGTTTATTCTCCCATTATTTAAACTGCCCTCCCCTCAACCCATTAGATAACCAGCTGGAGGCTTGCCAGCCTCCTGCCTGAGGAGGATACCCTTCAGCCAGACTGCCTGCTCTCCACTCTGGGTCCAGGCCTACCCAGTCAGTGCCAGCATGTGTCCTGCCACTCCCTTGCTGTTATCAGTCCTTAGGCCCAGGTCCCAGTCCAGATGTGGAGATTTCTTACTTCACTGTCTGGGTATATGGCTGCTCTCAAATGTCCTGATGACAGCACTGGCACATTGCCATTCATGTTTACTCTTCCTGGGGCAAGGCAGACCTCAGCAATTTGGGCACATTTTATCTGTGTCTGTGTGTGCACACATGCGTCAGGCTGCCTTAACCCTTCCCAAGCCGTGCTGACCTGGAAATGAAAACTGGGCCAAGAGAGAAATTTAAAGCACAACAAAGGAGAGAATGTCTCAAAGTCACATCTCTACAAGTATAATCTCACCAAGTCAACCATCTCTACTTCGAATATTTTTGTTATTTAAAAAATGAGGGCTGGGTGTGGTGGCACACGCCTGTAATCCCAGCACTCGGGAGGCTGAGGCAGGAGGATTGCTATGAGTTCGAGACCAGCCTGGGCTACATAGTGAGTTCCAGGTCAGTCTCGACTACATAGTGACACCCTGCCTCAAAAAACAAAAAATGAAGGGGCTGAGGATTTAGCTCAGTGGCACTGCACCTACCTCTCAAGTGCAAAGTCTGAGTTCTATCCCCTATGCCCCCCCCCAAAAAGAGTAAAGCTTAGAGATTTCCCAAGTGCACAGGAGCAGTTGGCATAGTAACTTATACTGCTGGGATTCGTGGTTACTAAACTTTTCTTCCTTTCCAGGCAGGTAAGGGGGGGGTGTTCTAGGGGAGGGGCTGGGAGTCAAGTCATATTTCCTTATGTGAAAAGTGATCAAGTCTAAACAGTGATTTTTCTGCTTCCACAATATATGCTATGACTTCTTTATTGTGGATCTTGCTGTGACTTTTCTTTCTGGGACTTTTCTGTGCATGGCCCAGCAGAGAGGGAAAGGTGGGGACTTTGACCTGGAGCCCATAGACAGCTGGCTCATGACCCAAGGAATGGTGAGGAGCCGCTGCTGAGCTGAGCCGAACCCGCTGTCCATCCCAACCCCTCACCTGTGTAACAGCCATCTTCCTCTTGCCACTGCCCGGCCTTTGTGATCAGACAGGACAGGGCCACACTCGCTCCTTCTGATGGGGATGCCAAATTTCCTCCACTGTCTTTGTATAATCTCCTTAGGCAACAGACTTCCTGCCCCAGAAACACCTTCTCTGGTTTTCTGCTGAGGCCCATGCCCCCCGACCTTCAGGATCTGTGACATTAGCAGGAGTGAGGAGGGAGGACCCTTCCCTCCTTGAACTATCTCGGGAGCTCTTGGCAATATTCATTTTTCCAGGATGAGCACAAGTACCTGTGGCCTTTGCTTGGGAGGCAACAATTTTGAGGGTGCAGACACAAAGTACCTGGCCAGTCGGAGATGCCCTCTAGTCCAGTACCAGGGAATTCAGCAGTCCTAGGCTTGGTAGATGTCTGTAATAGTTACCGGTATCTACTGAGTCTCTCCAAAGGACTTGAGGCCTTCTGCAGATATACACACAGTAGAGACAGAGTGAAAAGAAGACAACTCCAGAGGAGTTTAAAATCATAAATCGTTCTAATGTAGTGGAGCTTTTCTGCCACAGAGACCTGGGAAGGTCTCCTGCTTTGTCTGTTCAAGTGGCCCTAAATCCAGTACACAGAAAGAACATAACTATATCCCAGACTGCTTGCCTCATGGTGACTATTTCACCTCCAACATAGAGCCCAGAGCTCTAGGTACAGGTGGTAGGGAAAGAGCAAAGACAATGCAGAGAATGAAAAGTGATGGAAAAGAGGTAGAAATGTGGGCCTCTGCCCTTCCAGTGGGTAGGGTAGGAGGATGCACAACCACCCTTAGGTTCCAGGACAGACTGTGGCCAAGAGAGGGCCCGAGACAATTGAATATCCAGGGATGGCCAGCGGGTCCCAGACTTCAGGCAACACAGGCCTGCCTGCCCAAGTGGGACTTGTGTCAGGCAGGACCACAGAACCATAGGTATGTGCTTTGGCTAGTGCTCCATGCACAGCTGTGCTTTTATGGCACCTTCCTCTTGCCACCTGCCACAGCAACAGCATATTCCTTCCCTAGGTGAGAAGGCAGTTGTTCCTGCACCCAGCCCCAAGGCCACTTAGAGACACGGGCTGGCCAGGCCCCTCATTTTCTTCTGAAGAATAGGCTGGGCTCTGACCCACAGACATGAGTGGCCTTAGAGAAGTTCCTGAATATTATGTCTGCTCCATGGTCCAGACTGGGAAGATCTAGCCCATGCACCCTTGTACCTACTAATCCTGTAAAAAAGGATAGTGCCTTCCCAAACAGTCTAGTGTGGCCTTGGCAGTTGGTGTGGTACCTGCCCCTACCCACACAGGTTGCCTCCCTGCTGCCCTCTTCCCACATAGAGCTCCAGTCTCCAACTTCCTAGAAACAGACCCAACTAACAGCTAACCTGGTGTTTTACCTGCCTACCTGCAGTGTTTTATTTTCTCTCTCCTTTAAAACAATGTATATTAATTGCTTTGCTTTATTTCTCATAGTATAGAAACCCTGAGTCTTCTCAAACCTCCTGAGTGCAAATTCTTTACATGGAAACTTTTTGTACTGTTGAGTGAGACCAGAAATTTTTAGGCTATTTGTCCCATTGAGTTTGGCTGAAGTAGCTTAGGGAGAGTTCCACAGCTTCTGAAAATGGCACACCTCTGCCGCAAACTTGCTCTTGCTGCATAGAAAACTGGACAAGTAGACCTTGTGGGCTTGGGACCATGGGAAACTGCAAACAAGCACCTCACTAGACCCTTCCTCTCCTGGGACTTCAGGTTTGAGGTTCCCAGCACAAAAGCTACCTATCCAGGCCAGCCTTGCTTCCAGTTGAAGAGAAACGAGATCTGACATGGCCCAGTGCTAAGTCAGTGGTCCTCCCTCCCCTGTAGGGCTTTCTCCTGGATAGTGATTAGCTAGGCTGTCTCTCATTTGCAAGGTACAGCCAGAGGATGCCATAGTGTGAACAAATATAAGTCAAAGCAATACAAGAAGTAAATTAGTGAAGTCTGTTGCTGCTGAAGCATAGTTAGGGGTAAAGCCCTTAAGGTCCCTTGCACTCAGGACAAATGATCAGTAACCCTCAGAGACTCAAGCCCAGCAGGCCCAAAGCTGCAGAGAGCCTGGCCACAGAGAACCTGGCTGTGGCTGATTCTTTTTTTGATTCCTGAAGGGGAGCCAGCCCTGCCTACAGCTCCAGGTGAGAGTCAGCTGACAGCAGGACAACCTGGCCTCCACTTGAAACCCAAACTGCCCCCCTAGCATCTGAGCTCCCCACTTCTCTTGGGCTCTGAAGATGGGCGGGACTGATGTAACTGTTGCCTTGGCCCCACGAGCTTAGCCTCTGTCTTTGCAGGACTTAGCTTTATAAAGGCCTCAGTTTCCATGGGAGGATGTTCAACATAACTTCCTTTCCTTTCTCTCCTCACATCTCTTCCTTCTTTCTGTCTCCCTTATCCAACTCACACTCTTCAGACCCTTTGGACCGGCCTGCAGCTCGGATCATTGCCAGAACGTGCTGTAACCATGGTACATCAGAGCAAACTGGCTTCTTAGGGTTCTGCTGGTCCAGCCCTTCATTTAACAGGCGAAGATACTGAGGCCTCCCAGGGGCCTGGTGACTTGCCCAAAGCACAAGGCAGAGACCCCAAGTCCCTTAAGACAGTGCAGGGCTCCCTACCCTAGCCAGGACCCTTCCCTTCCCTCAAATTATCCTGGAGGGGGAGGTTCCTTTCCCTCCATTCAGCCTGTGTAGTTCAGATTTTCATGACAATGTACATGTTTAGTCTGGGTCTGATAGCGCCTACATTATTCAAGGGAACTTGACCCTGTTGGAATGCTCCAGACGTTTATTTACCAGGGAAGATATTTATAATAGCTAAAGTTTTGGGCATGATCACAAGAAAGTCAACCCCTACCTTACTTTAAATAACCAGCACTCTGGCTGTGCAGTGGTTCCCACCCTCTGGCCCAGTGCCTCTCACTAGAGTCAGTTCCAAAAATCTGACCTTTCTGAGTGTCTGCATCAGAAAACAGAAGCACCACCCTGAGAGGTGAGGGATCCCAGTCATGAGTGTTGAAAGTAAATGTGACCTCACAGTCACCCTGTTTCACGATTGAAGAAACTGAGGCCAAGCCTTGTCCAAGCCCCTGTACTCTACTTCTGCTTCCCCACTCTTATATTTGAGGCTTCTGCAGAGGAGGCTGGAATCTACCCAGTGAAGGAACGGACCCAGAGAGAAGTATCTTGCCCTGAGCCATGCACCAGTGAGGGCTGTGTCCTAGACAGTGAGCCTGTCCAGCCTGCTCTTGCCCACCAACCTTAATCTCAGTCTCCCACAAAGCCTTAGGAAATAAGCAAAATGTAGGCAAATTTTCTGCCAGAGTGTAACACAGTCTGGAGTCCAGCTGCCAATGAAGTCCTTCTTCCCAGATGAAACCCCTTGAGCCTGGTCTTTTCTGGCTGCCTCATTGCTCTCGGAATTCTGGTCTTCTGAGTTCTGACCAGAATCTTCCATCAAACTCAGCTTGCAGTATTCTATAGCTTTTCTGACCAGCACCCTCAAACCTTCCCAAACTCTTTCTGTAAACCAGTTCCAAAGGCTTCTGAACCCATGGACAGACAGAATTTCAGCAATGACCCCACTTTTCTGTTACCAAAATCTGTCTTAATTACTTTCCTTGTTGCTAGGACAAAATACCCACCACCCAAAACTGAAAGAAGGGCACAATTCCATAAACACAACTTGCTCAGGTACTTATAGAGGAAAAGGAACAGGGGCACCCCAATAGTCCTGCTTGTGGAGAATTTTTTTTTAGGGGTTAAGGAATTTTTCAAACATCGGTGTTTCTTCCCTCCATCCCTGCTACTCCCCTGCCTTCCTTTCTTTCTGCAGTACCAGGGATTGAACTCAGAGTCTTTGCACTGAACTACCTCCCAACCCATTTTTTATTCTTTACTTTTAGACAGGGTCTTACTAAATCACTGGGTTGTCCAGGATGGACTTGAACTTGTGATTGTTTTGCCTCAGTCTCCCTGATTGCTGGCAGGCATTACAGGCACGTGCTACCATGCCCTGATTTGATTGATTGATTTTTTTTGGTACTAGGGATCAAATTTGGGCCATTGTTCTTCTGCGGCAGGCACTGGAACCACTGAGCTAAATCCCCAGCCCTGACTGATTTTTTTTTTTTTGATTGATTGATTTTTTGCATTACTGGGCATTGAACCCAGGGCCTTGCACTTACTAACCATGTGCTTTACTGCTGAATATATTACCCAGCTCTTTTAAATTTTTATTTTATTTTGAGACAGGATCTCACTATATTGTCTATGTTGGCCTTGCAATCCTTCTGCCTCAGCCTCCCAGGTTGCTGTGATTACAGGTGTGCAGCATTATATCTGGAAGTTTTTTTTCCCCTGAGCATCCAGCTCTCAAGACTTTTTTTTTTTTGGGTACTGGTGATCAAACTCAGGACCTTGTGCTTGTGAGGTAGGCACTGTGCCACTGAGCTGAATTCCCAGCCCAGGATTTTTATTTTTGCTTTTACTAGAACATATTTGTAGTGCATAATGATAATATTTATCATGGACTGGCTTTCAAGATTAATATTCAAAGAAGGACATTGGAGCATGATCCCAGGCCCTAGGGATGGATGGGTGGGTAAGTGGGAGGGAGGGATGGATGGGTGGATGGATTTTTGTGTATGGGGCTGGAACCCAGGCCTAGTGCACGCGAGGGAAGTACTCTTAGTACTGAGCAATATTCCCCGTGCTCTATTTTTTTTAAAATAGTAACTAGAAAATTATAAGAAAAAGCTGATGGTTTTAGGCCTATGACCCCTTCATGGCTTTTTTTTTTCCAAGCTTTGACAACACATGAAAAGCCCAATGGTAGAGGATTTACATAGCAGGTGGAAAAGCCCCGGGCTCCATTCTCAGGACAAAAGAATGAAGAAGAGAAGAGGAAGAGGAAAAAGAAGAGAGAAGGAGAGGAAAATCCTCAGTTTCTCCTAGAGGGACTGAAGCTAGATATATATGTGAAACAGCTGTTATGGGTTGATTTTTCTCTTTGAAAAAGCAGCTGACTTTCTGAGCTTAAGGGCTGGGACCTAAGCGTGGTATACATCCTGCCTGAGCCAGGCATCCTGACTTATAGGCATCAAGATCATGAAAACTGGTATGTCCCATGCCAGGAACATGTCAAGGCAGAAGATCTGCCAGCAAGCATCAGATAGCAGGTTGCACTGCTATGCCCTGCTGCTCTTTGGCAGGGAAGGTTGGTACCCAACTTGGGCACGGTTGACACAGCCGTCAAGCATTCATGCCCCCACTCCAAGTGAGTCGTATGTGTGTTGTTCCTAAGATTTATGTTCAGGTGATAATAACTCGCTGAATTATAAAAAATGTAAGAGTCTGAAGTCCCCAGTAAGTCACAGGGATCAGATGACAACATAGAGAGCCACTCCCTTACCTGGTTGGTGGGTAGGGTAGTTTGAGCCTTTGTTTTCTTTTTCTCCTCTTTCTCTCTCTCTCTTTTCTTTTCTTCCTTTCTCCTTTAAAATTTTATTTTAATGGTGCTGGGGATAGAACCCAGGGCCTTGAGCACGCTAGGCATGTGCTCTGCCACTGACCACACCGACAGCCCTTGGCTTGAGCCTTCCTGAAGCCGCTTGAGGGGCTGCCCTTGCTCAGTTAAAGTTAGGGCACAGGGGTGATTCTGCAGACTCCTGCTCAGCATGGTGAGCTCCAGCTGTGTGCACGAAACCTCCATGGACAGCAGATGTCAGCCTCCATGACGAGTTGTCATTTCAGGTCTGGTGATACGAATTCTTGGCTCTTTTTCTTTGTGAAGGTCCTGGTGTTTTTCAGACATAGTTAATACTGTAACAGTCCTCTTACTACTCATTCTAATTTTATTCTTACTCTAGATGTGTCATGGAAGGTATAGTTAACTATAGACATACTGTGGCATTTTTTTCCTAGAAATAATGTGCTAGCAAGTGAGTCCCTGGAAGGTACCTTCCAGACCCAGGGTAGGTAAGGAGGCAGGTCACCTCAGTTAAGCACCACTGAGTCACTCATCTAGGCGGGGAGCCAGCATTTGTGTAACATTTGTGAGAGGTTAAAGGTTACCTCCGCTTTTTTATCACATGAAACAGCAACTTAACGATTTTTAGCCACATGTATTTTTCAGAACCTCTGCTCCTGAGACACTTGGCATGAGCAGCCCAGGTGTGGCAGCTGCTCACACGTTCATGAAATTTTCCGGGGAGCCCTGGCTTCTGCTCCCTAGACCTTGGAGAATTTCTGTTCCTTCATTGCTGAAGCCACTGAGAGCTGGGAAAAAGGATGAAGCTAAAGGAAGCTGTTGTGTCAGGACTGCTATGATTTGTTTCCCCTAAAGAGACACAAAGAAGACTAAAGCCCTGCAGTCCCTTTTGTCCTCACAGCCCTGATTTTGGCCAGCCTGCCTGCCTTCTGTCAACCAGCTACACCCAAGCTGATGGAGCACACACCCTGAGCTGCCTTCCCCACTTCCAAAGTGTGCCTGGGTGCCTTGTGTAAGGCACATAGAGCAGATGGAGCCCCAGATGGCTCCTGGGTTGGCACCGCCAGCCCTCCTGAGCACCTTTACCCCAGTGCGCGCAGGCTGCCTCTTGGCTGTCCTGGTAGCATCAGGGGCCACTCCTGGCTCCTCGTCTTACCTCCTGGATTGGGCTTGACAGAGGGAAGTCAAAGAGCTGTAGTGGCTGATGAGTTCAAAATCAAAATGCAGGCCTGGTACATTCCTGAGATTAGAAGGTGATGGCTTTGTGCCCTAGGCCAAGAGACCCTGTGACATGAGGACAGGGACACATAGTCAAAAAGTTATCCATCTCAAGAACTCGTACTCCCACCTCCCTTGCTGCCGGCCCCTGCTGGCCAGCCGTGCTTCTTATAATTTGCCACTCACTGCTTTCCTCACCTGCTGTTTCACAAGGCTTCCCTTGTGTGCCTGTGTGTCATGCCAATTGTGTTTTTTTTGCTCTGTGTGCATTTTGATTTTGTTTTGGGGTCGCTTTTGATGATTTACTTTGTTCCGGTGTTCTGTCTCCCTTGCCTGGCTGTGGGGGCTGTGTGGCCCCGATGCTTGCTGCCTCCATAGATCCCCGTTGGGCAGCCCTCTGTCATGGACGACATTGAGGTGTGGCTCAGGACGGACCTGGTGAGACTTGACTTTTATATTCTGTGTGTGGGGTGTGACAAGGCAGAGCCTCTTCTGAGGACAGGCCTGGGGACCTTGCAAGGGGCCGAGTCTCCGCTGTGGGAGGAGGGGGGCGGGTAGTTGTGGCTGCTGTGTCCACCAGCACTTCACGGCTCACCTCCTTCTCCGGCACTTAGCCAGGGGCAAGAGTGCCACAGCGGACCCTGGGCCTAGGGGCACAGACCCATCACCTGCTCAGTCCTGCAGCGTGTGCGGGTCCCTGCCTGACATGCCCGTGGGAACCCAGCTTTAGCCGACTCCCAGCACACCTCCTCCCCAGCTTCCTTTCAATTTCAGTGGCATGTGTGTGCTTGGGGCTTGGGAAGGGGGCCGTATTATTTTTGTTTGTTTTACTTTTTTTTTGGTTTTCATTTTTTAAATTTAATTTTTAAAATTTTATTTTTTCAATACTGGGGATAGAACTCATCCTCTAGCATGTGCGAAGCAGGCACTCTACCACTGAGCTACACCCCCAGCCCTCACTTTTATCTTTTTATTTTATTTTTATTGTGAAATGTACACAGACGAGTTGGGTATTTGGTTATGTTTTAAATTCATTGTCATCTCCTTTCCCAGGAACTTTTAGTATTTTGGATTTAAAAGAACCTCTGCCCCACAGACTGCTGTCCCCACGGACTCTTGTCCCCATTCTATAAGACAGTGCAAACAGCTGAGGATATTGTGGTCTAAAATGGTAATGGGTTCCTCCCTTTGATCCTCACAAAGCTTTTTCAGCTGTCTTGATAGTTGGCCAGTGGTTGATAGGGAACTGTACTCTGGTGGACAGATGCCCTTCCTGGGTAATGGGCTTACTGAATTCTCCCCCAGATCTGGAGACACCTCATCTCTTCCTCCTGGCTGCTCATTGTCAGGGTAATTCTGTCCCCAGAGCAGAATAACTACAGGGTCAACCTGGTGTCTGAACCCCCCACATGAGGACAACAGGCCACCAGTCAGGGTGTCTCACTGCCTCCTTCCCGGAAGCTCAAGCTTTCCAAAGACATCATTGCCAACGAGGCACCCACCAAGGTGCCAAGAAGGGAAAGAAAATGTCCCATGGTGTCTTAGCCAAGAGGATGCCTTAAAAAGAAATAAAAGCCAGGGAGGCCAAGGCCCTCATTTTTATAAGGTAACCCTGAGGGCCAGAAGGAGGCAGGAACCTGTGCAGCAAGGCCACACCACAGGTCAGGGCAGGGCTGGGAAAGGACCCAGGCCTCTTAGCCAGTGTGGGGCTTTTCACTCCTTATCATCCCCTTCCTAATGCGACCCTCACATGTGTTGCTCTTCCCCGGGCAGCCCCTCTAAGCAAAACCAAGTAGGATTAGTTTCCATAGAACTTCCATGGCCCCTTCTGGGGCCCTCAGAGAGGATGGAGTCTGGACAAAGGGGGCTGATGCACTTGGCAGCGCCTCCCCTGACCAAACACCTTCTAGGTGCCAGGCCTGGACCATCCAGGCCCCACGCCACTCCCAGCTGCCGGTGTGGACAGTGTCTTCCCACTACCCTGTGCTGACAGTGAGCAGCTGTGGCGTAGAGGCCTTGGGGTCGCTGGTACACTGCAGACGCAGCCTCCTTTCCATCACCCAGCCTCTCCCCGGAGCCTTGAGTGTGGCTGCATCCTTTTTGGATTTTTCTTCCTGGGAGATCAAAACCTAAGTCTGTGTGTTTTTTTGGTTTTGCTTCTAAAAAACAAAACAAAATCTCTTCTCGTCTAATAAAAAGAACATTATCTTGCTGTCCCAGAAATCTGGAAATAGCTGGGTGTGGTGGCATGTGCCTGTAATCCCAGCACTCAGGAGACTGAGGACCACCCTAAGTTTGAGGCCAACCTGTACTACGTAGTGAATTCAAGGCCAGCCTGAACTACATATCGAGATCCTGTCTAAAAAAAAAGAAGAAAGAAATCTAGAAAGAGGGAAAAGCAGGAAGTTTATTTGAGATGCCACGGGCAGTGCCACCTGGGGTGGCCATGGGCAGGCAGAGGTGGCTGGGTGGGTGAGGCCTGATGATCCTTAACACTGCTCTGTCTGCTCCTCCCACAGAAGGGCGATGACCTGGAAGAAGGTGTCACAAGCGAAGGTACGGCCGGGCCAGGGGCTTTGCAGCTCTCTTTGCTGTTCCCATCCCAGGCTCTGGGGGCCGCAGAGAGCGTCCCCTTGTCTCCATGTCTCTGTGCTGTCAGAGGCCCTTCAAGTGCCAGAGCATGAGTCGTGGCTTCATGGGGGCTCAGCCTAACCTTGTGCTAATGTGAGAGTATCATTTCTCTCATTTTGTTTAAAGGGAAACGGAGGTCAGAAAGAACAGGTTGACTTAGTGGGTACAGATTGCCATCCCAACCTCCGGGTACTCAGTTTATCTAGACACAAGCCACCCAGTGCACTGAGGTCTGTAGGGAACTTGGGAGTCTGGGCTGGAGGGACCAGCCCCAGCCTGGTCCTCAGCTGATGGGCCAAGTGGGAACAGTGGGCCTGGTTCTTCAAGGGCCCTGCCTGTCCCCTCCTGTTTCTACTCCTCCTGGTACCTTACCTCCCCCTCAAAATCTGCCAGACTATAATCAGAAGGCCCAGGCAGAGAACTGTCAGGGACCTGGACTCTGTTCTGGGTGACCCCCTTCCTCAGTGGCTCCTCTGGCCCTGCTGTGGGAGCAGTGGGATGTCCCCTGCTACATGTCTTTGGGGGTGCCAGGCTCTCTCTGGCCTGCCCCCATGTTAATCTGGAAGGGGACAGAACTTTGGACTTTGGTGGGGCAGGTATCCTGTGCACTTCTTTCCAGAGCGTTTCCCTTCAGGGCTCATGGGCTGCTGGTCTTCTTCCCCATCTCTGGGGAACCATAACACCACCCACTGCAGGACACAGAGCCCTCCCCACCCATCCAGCTGGGGTTCCCACTTGCCTTGTAGATGGTAGAGGAGGAAACTGAGGCCAGCTTCCTAAGACAGTTTCCAGAAACACCATGCTTTAGCTGGAAGCTCACCCTGCCACCCGTTTTCCCCCTCATCAGCCCCACAGTGGTGCAGGCCAGAGCTGGGAGACCCCGTGGGACAGCTGGGCTGATCCTCATCAACTCTGGTCCCTGCTGTGGTTTGTATTGCAGAGTTTGATAAGTTCCTGGAAGAAAGAGCCAAGGCCGCTGAAATGGTCCCTGACCTCCCATCACCCCCTGTGGAGGCGCCCGGCCCAGCTTCCAACCCTTCTGGCCGGAAGAAGCCCGAGCGGTCAGAGGATGCCCTCTTCGCCCTGTGAGCTGTTCTGTGGTCTTCTCCGTGGATGGCAGGTCATGCTTGCTCCCTGTGGACACTGGGCACTGGGCCACTCTCCCTGCCCCTCACCCTTGGCCTGTGCACTTGTGTCTCCATGGGAACACCTATGTCTGCTCCCCTAGTCAGGACCAGCTTTCGCCACCTTCCTTCTCTGGGTGGTGGGACAGCCGCACTGCAGCCACAGGCCCTGCCGTCCCCTCCCCAGGCTCCCTTGGCCATGTGTCCTCCCAGGAAGAGCAGTTGCCCAGCCCAGCCAGAGTAGCCCCTCGACACTGCTCCTGAGCAGACCACCTGAAGCATCTCCTCCATCAACCACCCACAGAGAACGGGGTCAGGCCCTGGCTTGCCACGCGTGCCCACAATGTGTGCCACCTCTGCCTGGCTGAGTGGATTCCCTCTGGCCTGCCGCCTTCCATATTCTTCTGCCAGGAATGGCTTTGTGTCTCTGCCTCTGGAAGAGCAGGGCTCAAACTCCTCCCTGGACTGTCACCTCACAGCACCTGTTGCGTTGGCACTTTAGAGGGCTCTGGGGTGCCCACATGGGAGTCTCTTGTGTTCTTGACCCTCTCTCCATCAGTCAGTTGCTCACCCAGACCTCCTACCTACCCCAGCTGGTGTGGCAGCCTGGCCCAGCTGAGGGGCCGCAGAGGACCTGCAGCTCCTGGTGTAGGGAGAGCCCAGTGCAGTGGAGAGGGCAGCGCTGACATGAACCCAGCCACGCCCTGCACACTCCAGCCAGCTACCCTTGGCCCGTCATATGGAGAAGCCCACGCAGAGCTGCTGCTCTGCTGGCTTGGGAGAGTGATGCGAGCTGGCCCTGCCTGAAGTGGCCTCCACTCACCACCTCTAGGCCCAGCTGCAGACAGCTCTGAACCACACCAAGAGGTTCCAAAGGATCAAGTGGCCAGAGTGACACTAAGGCCTTGTACCTCTCCCTGGCAAGGGCCCCAGACCCACCATGGGCAGTGTAACCTGACACCTCAGATGATCTCGAAGGTTCACAGTCCAAGGCTGAACAGATTGGGGCTGGTGACACCTGTTTGCATCCTGTGTCTTCGTTGATGTGTCTCCTAGCCCTGGCAAGGAACTCACAGCACTGCTCCAGCCCTGGTCCAGCTAACCCTTGCCCCAAGCTGCCATTACCCAGGATGAGGAAACGCGCTGCTGCATCACCCTGCTGAGGTTCTACCCTTCCAGCACGCACTTCCCACATCACCACGGTTTTCCCATCCCCAGTGTAGAGCGGCCTAGTGCTGTGCCTGTCACCCTCAGGGCACCAGCCCTTCAGAGAGAGGAGGCCACTGAGATGACTAGTGGCTGGGCTCTTGGACATAGTAGGACCAGGACTACAGTGAGAACTGTGAGGACTCCATGCCCAGCCTACCACCCTCCAGAAAGGAGGACTGTGGTTTGGTTGGGGCCATCTGCAGGAAAGCAGAGATGCCGCATCCATTCCGCAAAATACCTAGGAAGCACCTCCTCAGAGTTTGGCCAGCCTGCTTCCTGCTCTGCCTTGACTTCTCTACTCCTTAGCCCTTGGGCAGCTTGTGCCCTTTTCACCCTCTTGGTGGGGCAGAGCCCTGAGCTGCAGAGAAGTGGCTGGGATGGCCCAGGTGTACTGCCAGAGCTGGGCCTGTAGGTGGTGGCAGGTCAGGCCTAGTATTTTCTGAGGAAAAAGCCTTGTGGATGGCATGAGGAAGAGGGGCATGTTCTGTGAGCAAGGCTGAGGTAGGTGCCCTCCTGGGAGTCTCTGGCAAAGTTGTTCTTAGTACCCATGTTGAGTGCCCCCAAGCCCCAGTGGGTTGGCCTGGTTTGGAAAGACTTGGATCGTCTGTGGGCAGCAGGTATGGAGGATTCCTGTGGACTGAGGTGACACAGGCGTGAGGTCTGTACTGGAAACAAGTGTGGGGATGTTACCTTGAGGTCTCTGGTTCCTGCCTGTCCTGCCATCTGGGGCACAGTCCTCAGGCCACCTGCCTAGGGAAGGCACAGAGGTCTGATGGGAAAGCAGGACGTCATGAGCCACCAATCTCCACAAGTGTTAGAAATCACAGATACAGTATGTACTTAATTACACTAAATTATTGCTGGGATTCCTCATAAGCACTAATTATACCTGATTATAAGTTAAAATATTTATTTTGTCAAAATATTTTCTTAGGGATGTGTTTAACCTTTTCTGTGTTTGTATGTGCTGAGATGTGAAGGCTCACCAATTCTTCCTGGCCAGCAGGCAGCAGCAAACAGCACTGTGTACATTCTGCCCTGGTGCCCAGCAGCGCCCTGCGTCTCGGCTGAGAATGACCAGCTTGCTTCTCAGTGTGCCTGGGGCCCTAAGACTCCAAAGGGGGTTTTAGAGCCGAAAGGGCTTGTAGCTGGCCTGCCCAGAGGAAAAGGTGACCATCCATCTGTCCTGTCTGTCCACCCCCGTATTGTGAGTGATTGTGCCTTGTCGGCTCCTTGCCCTTCTCCCCACCCAGGTCTCAGGCCTGTGCTGTCACTGCAGCGCCTTGGGAATGAGGACCTAGCAGTATTCTTATGCTGACGGATTGGTGTCCAGGATTGGGCCAGTGGCAACAAGGCTCCTCCTCTTCCTCCTTCCTTTCCCATCCTAACCCTGCTGAGCCCAGCCTTCTGGATGGTGTGGGGTAGCCCATGGCCCTTCTGGGACTAGGCCAGCCCTTGCTTGGGAAGGGCACATGGACTAGTGCTAGCCTCCTTGCAGCCCTTGCACTACCCTGTTGGCTCATGGGCTTCTCCATGATCATCTGTTGGGACACCTGGGCTCTTCCTCCATGGTCAGCCACACAGGGAAACATCGTGTTTCCCCCACGCATAAAGGAATGTTTCCACCCGAGATGCTTCCTGTCAGGCCTGCAGGATCTGCCTTTCCCAGTGCCCATCTCCAGCCCTTCCTGGCCATGGAGGCCCAGGCTAGGCTTCCTTGCAGCCACTAGCCTTGGGAATAGGTGTCAACCATGCATTATAACTGCTCTGTCAGTGTCCCAAACCAACCTCCAGGCTCTCCTGGAGGGTAAGCAATGGATATTTTATTTCCTAAAGTTTGCACTTAATTTGTGAGGGTTCTCAGGATCGTTGGGGGCTACTGAAAAAAAGAGGAATGTGTTGAGTTCATTGTTCCCTTGTCCCAGAAGTCTGGTGTTGTTATTAGTCATGGATTTTTGTGGGCAGAGCTGGTTCTGGAGGGTGGGTCAGTGCTTCTGTGGCTCAGAGTGACCCCAGAATGTCTCCCCACCCCACCAGCTCTCCCAGATGCTGTCTCTCTAGTTTTGGTTCTTGCATGTATCGTACTCCACAATAAATAAATAACTAAACAAACCATTTCCTGTGTGATCTTTTGAGTTGGTTGTGACCATCCAAAGGGCTTTCCATGAGGGACCAACTGCTTTCTTTAAGCAGGGGCTGCCACGGAGGCCCTGCAGAAGGGAACATCTGGGGGACCCACTTTCCACCCTCCCTCTGCTGCCTTGCTGCTGGGCCAAGAAGATCCCTGGGCTTAGCCCAGCTGAGCATCAGTGGCAGCAGCCGTGAGTGTGTACCCTCCAGCCCCTCCTGAGCTAGGCTCCACCGTTCGCTATTAGAATTTCCACAGAGCTTGTACCAGGTGCTGGATTTGAGAGCCGCTGCTCCAAGCCAGGTAGATGTCACCCAAACCTTTTTAGTAACATACATACATACATACATTTATTTATCTTTTGGTACTGGGGATTGAACTCGGGTCCCTGCATTTGCAAAACAGGCACCAGAACCACTGAGCTAAATCCCCAGCCCATGGTAACTTTTATTGAGATACAATTCACATCACACATTTACCCACAGTTGGCTGGGGGTGTGACTCAGTGGTAGGCACTTGCCTGGGATGTGTGAGGCCCTGGATTCATTCTCTAGCACTAGAAAATATAGAGTGTACAGGTGAGTAGTTTTAGAATAGTCTCGGTTGTGCAACCATCCTCATTATCCAGTTTTTAACATTTTCATCCCATGAAAAGGAACTGTTTCTTCCCAGGCCATGACCTACTCTCCCTATAAAATGGGCTCCTCTGCTACTGTACTGTCCAGGCGGCTTCCCTGCACATGTAGCTCTACCCTTGGGAGCAGGCCTTTCAGCTGGCCTGGACACAGGAGTCCTGAGGCATGGATTGTAGAGGCCTGGACTGCTTGCTCCTGCTTGTGTGGCCTGGGACTGAGAGCCTTTAAATGCTGTCATGTCTGGGGATTTGAGGATAGATGTTATCTTTTCTCATTGCTGAGACAAAATAACACCCCAAGTTAAAGGAGGAAAGGTTTAATTGGCTCACAGTTTGAACAGGATTCTGTTCATAGTTGGCAAACTCTAAGGCAGGGTGATATGGCACGGACATCACAGAGGAGAAGTAGAGTTCATGGTAAGCTGAAGGCAGGAAGTGACCAACAACAAGCAGAACCTTCTTTCTGTCTCCTTTATCCTATCCAGGCTATTAATCTTAGGGCAGATAGCACTCACACCCTTAATGAGTCAATCCTTATATCACATCCTTGATTGCAGCAGCACACATCCTAGATCCAGCCACCTCTGAGCACATGAGGCTCTGGGGCAACATCTAGATACAAGCTGTAATATATGTTGAATGGGATGGACGTATCAAGCCCAGTGGACCTGGATTGTACATGGAGACATCTACCCAGCCTCTTGCTGCTGGTGATGTCTGAAGAGAAGTAAACAGCAACATAGGGGTTAGTGGTACCAGCATTTAAATCCAGACTCTGCCCAGACCAGCACCTCAGAGTGGCAGGAAGGCCACCACCTCCATGGCTAGCAGGTGAAGACTTCTGTGCAGAGGACTCACGACAGGGCTCCCTCGCTGCTGTTAGAAGGGTGGGCTCATAGCAGGGGCCATGTTAGGACCTCTCATCACCATCCCAGACCAGAAGCGGCAGCACTCCAGCTTCCTGGGGCTCCAGGGAGTTTCGTGGAGATCCTGCTTGTTTCTGGTCAGCTGGGGTGAGCCAGTGAGTGTCCCTCCACAATGGAGGCCTTGGGGAGCAGGCCTCTGAAGTGGGAGAGGCCCACAGCACAGGGCCCTCTGAACAGACCACGCAGACCCTGAGACTGGAGCCCTGCTTCTGCCCTGTGGAGAGTACGTCAGCCTGGAGTCTCCACTGTGGATGCACCAGGACAGGGGTCCATTTGTGCTTTCAGTTGCTGTTCCTCACTGGCTGCTGCATGCCAAATCAGTGCCACAGGACAGAGGAAGGTCTGCTTAGGCCCTGCCCTTATGCAACTCACAGCCCGGTTGAGTTCTCAGAACTGAGGACACTGCAGCCAGGAAGTACTGGAGCCCTCTTAGATGGCCTGCTGGAGAGCACTCTGCAGCCAGGAAGTAAATAGTCAAGGCCTAGAGCATATTGATCAGCAGCTGCAATAGGAAGGCCAGCAGTGCGGGTAGGGGGTTACTGACTGACTCAGCTGACCAGCCTCCTAAGAGGGACCTGATCTGGCAGGTACTTGTCAAAATGGATTTCTCCAATACATTAATAGCTATTCTTAAAAAAAAAAAAAAAAAAAAAAAAAAAAGAGGGGTTCTATATAATAAGTTCAGGAAATGGAATAAAGTAACATCAGGATTGCTTTGTCCAATCAGAAAGAGGAATTTACTGGTTTATGTAAGTGAAATCAGCTTCAGGAATAGCTGGATCCAGGGGCTTACTGATTTAGTCTGGAATCTGCCTCGTTGTATGTCTTGGCTCTGCTTCCTTTGGGTCATCTTTTCTGTTTTGGTAACTGTAGGCTACCTGCAGTCCAGGCAGACATTCTACTGGCAAGGAGAGGGTGCCTCTTGCCTAACAGTTCTCATGAAAGTCCAAGAACTCTGAAAAATCAGGCCATTAACAGAGGAAGGATGAAATCCAGATAAATATGACAATGGGTGGCCACTGCAGCGTGGATGGAGAGGGCCAGAGATGGCAGTGAGAGGAAAAAAAATAATAATTTTAAAAAATTTTTTAAAAGAAAGAAAAAAAAAGGGCCGGGGATTTAGCTCAATGGTTCCACCGCCTGCCTCGCAAGCACAAGGACCCAAGTTCAAAAAAACCTGGTACCAAAAAAAAGGGCAGTGAGAGATAGACTTGGACAGAGACAAACACCTGAACTCCTCCCTCAGTGCTCCCTTCTTGGCCTTGGCAACTTCTTGTCATATCACTGGAGAGGTGCTGAGACCCAGCTGAGGTTTCTCTCTCCAGAAATCTGCAAGGGGACAGTGGCAGAGGAAGAGGGAGCCTGCCATCCACATCTTTTCCAAAGTAAAAAGGTGGCGGCGGGGGGTGGGTGGGGGGGGCGGGGGGTCTCCTTTGAGCCTCAGGGAGAGGCGGAACCGTAGACTGATTAGGCAGGACTCCATTGGCTCAAGGTCAGAGCTCTCTGTCTTCCCCAAGGGGTTGTCTAGACTCCAAGGCTGGGCCTTAGCATCCCCAGGCAGCAAACCCTCTACTATCAGCACGAGGGACTGGGAGCTGCTTCTGGAAGCTGAGTGGGCTCCATTATATGGGACTATTTCCTCCCCAAACCTACTTGAAGAGCCGCTGCCTGGGGGCTTCAACGGTGCAACCAGGCAAGTCATTGGTCTTCACTTTCTTTAAAACAGAATCTTGGGTGGTCAACCCAGTACCCAGAGTCACATTCATTCATAAAAGAGTAATGTAGGCTGGGTGTGACCCAGGAAGTGGGGGGAATGGGGAAAATGCCTACAGCCCTGGTTAAAGCTAAACCACTTGTCAAGTCCAGGTTTGTCCCAGTCCCATTAAAAAAAAAAAGCCAGCAATTCAACTTTGAAATTTTCTTTTGACTGGATTATATGGGTGCTCTCTGCCTGCCACCAAGTGGCCCTGACTATTCTGACTCCCCTCCAATGAATGGTCACTCGGCCTTAACCCAAATGCCAGTTACCCAGGGGAAAGCTGTCCCCTCCTTCATCCTCTGTCTGAACCTCACCCAGCAGTGCTGCGCAGCAGGCTTTTGTGGAGGACCTATCAGGTCATGAACTCATCACCCCGGAAGGGCCCACCATGGTATGAGCCTCCTTAGGAAAAGTCGGCTATGGATGCTCAGAGAGGGCTAGAAAGCAACTGCCCAGCTCACAGCAAAGGAAACAAACACAAGCCAACTGCAAGAAGACCACAGGGTCATCTAGGACCAGAATAACCCAGGTCAACAGTCTCCCATCTCCAGGATACACACTGGTGGAACCAGGGTCTCCCAGTGGCACCAGGCTCCTAGCAGTCCCTTCCCACTGCCTGGCAACCTCAGCGTGACCCCGGCAGGTCCCAGCTCAGCTCCTGCAGCAGTGAAGGACAGAGTGGCAGGCGGAGTGGCAGGGGGCTTCAGGAGCGATGATGTGCCTGCCCTGCCACCCACACTGCCTGCGCTGGGCGCCCCTCCAAATGACACGGAGAGGAAGCTACCTCCCAGTCTCTAAGACGCTAGGGAGCCAGGGGCAGAGGCGAACCTTATCTCCCTTCCGGTAATCTGAACACAGGACTGCAGGGATGGCGGAGTGACCCAGGCAGAACTCCGGCTCTGGGCTCGCCGCACAGTACCGACACCTGGGAACCAGCGGCCATCCCGAGTCAGAACATGTACTTGGCTGCAGTCCCAGCCAGGTGCAAATCCGAGAAAACAGGCCCACCTGGCCCGGTGCCACTTCCTCCCCGCCTCCAGGTCGAACCGACGCCGCATTTGTGACCTAAGGACTGGCTCCCGAGCTACACGCTGACGCTACGTCGCCCCACTCTGGGCCAAGCGCCCATTGGCTGCGACGGCCCGCGAGGGCGGGGCCTGGCTGGCTCTGCGCCCCAACTCCCTTGGGTCTCCTGCCGCGACCGGCCCAGCCCGCATGCGCAGCCGTCATTGCTACCCGCAGTTAGCGTCGGCACAATCTGGGGCAATAGCGCTGAGAAACCCTGGGCAGGTCACTTCGCCTCCTGCCTCAGTTTACTCATCTGTAAAATGGGACAAGAACAGCCATGTCCTCCTAAGGCTATTGGGGAGAAAAACATTTGGCATGCTAGAAGCGAGCTCAGTGATTGTTGACAGTGCCAAATGCTGCGGACCAGGCCCACCAAGACAGAAGGGCTCCTGTTCTCAGCATCACAACGTCCTTGCGTGTGCTTAGAGCTCTCCAGCCCACAGAGCCTGAGATTCTTGTTTAGAGGTCTCAGGATCCTTGAGGGAGAGAAATACCAAGACAAGCAGTTCCCCTAAAGATTGCCTGATTTTTTCCACCTTCACGGTTGTCCGGGAGTACGGATTCATTACAAAGACTACCCCACCTTGTGCTATGCCTCAGAGGGAGGCTTCAGCCAGACATCAGTTTCAACAGGCTTTTCTGTGGCCTACAGGTCTGAGGACCTTGCTTTACCGTCTTCGTTTCTGGCCTAATTTTCAGTTATGGAGTAAATATTTATTGAGCTTTTTGTTTGTTTGTTTGGACAGTGTCTCCCTTTACAATGCAGGCTAGCCTTGAACTTACTAAGTATCTCAGGCTGGCCTCAAACTCAATCGATCCTCCTGCCTCAGCCTCCTGAGTGCTTCGAGCTATGCTTTTTACATATGTGGTAAAATCATTTCCAGAACAGTGAGGCAGAGCTATTGTGATGATGATCCTAAAACAGCCTCTCTGCTTCTGCAGAGTGACAGTTACAGCAGCTGAGACTCAGCAATATGAAGTGATTCTAGGTCACACAGCAAGCAGGTGAAGAATCAGATCAGCTATCCGATTCTGAACAAAAGTGGTATTGTGGCTTTATCCAGCACCTTCCATCCTATTCTTCTTCTTGGGAAGGGTTATTTGAATTTTCAGGGAAGCCCCTGAATTCCCAAGGCTCTGGGTATATCCTCAGGATAGTGGAAAATGAGGGAAGGGGGAGTAAATGAGGATGCAGAAGCCAGCTATGCTGTACCCAAACAGAAGTTTGAGCCTGGTGTGGTGGCACATGCCTGTTATATCATAATCCCAGCACTCTGGTTGGCTGAGGCAGGAGGAATGGGAATTCATGACCAGACTGGGCAAGTTAGTGATTTAATGAGACCCTATCTCAAAAACAAAAAACAGGGCCAGGGATCTAGCTCAGTGGTTCTGCTGCCTGCCTCACAAGCTGAAAGTCCTGAGTTTGATCTCCAGTACAGGAAAAAAAAAAAAAAAAAAAAAAAGTTTGTCTGAAAAGGTCAAAGCCCTGCATGGAAGCTTGAGCAGGGCCACTTTTAGGACAGATATGGTTTGGAGACCCATGGCTCCAGTACCCTGTTCTTGGTAATTTTCCACAGCAGCCACTTCAGCCAGAGGAACAAAGATAACTGCGTGTCCAGAGTGAGACCCAGGGAGTTGGGTCGCTGTGGCCTCTCTGGATTCAGGCTCCCATCCCCCTGCCTTCGAAAGTGTACCACTCATTTTACTCCCTCAGAAGGCTAGGCCAGCCAGGACACATCGGGAGTCTGAGCAAGGCTATCTCCAGGATAGCTTCTCTGAGGTCTGGGTGTCAAGCTTCTTTCTGGGTTTGCTTGGCTGCCCTCCACCAACACTGCCCTTCTCCACTTGAAGACCTCTGGTGACAGGGATCTCACTGCCTTCTCACTGAATGTTACACCTGGTTTATTTCAATCCATCTCATTGCACCCCCTCTGCTCTCACCTGCCCGTCTGGCTCTGTCCCTAGGCACAGGGCCCAGGGTTCACTTGAAAGGCTGCTTGCTCTGGCCTTGCCCCAGACTATCACAATCCAGGGCAACTTGGCTTGGGTCTAAAGTATAGTCTTCCTCTTCCTCCTGGCCCTTGTCCTGGTGGCTCCTAGGAACATGCACCAACTGTGAGGTTAGACAGCCCTGGGGCCCAACAATGTAGTGGTCTATGAGGAGCTGAGGGACCTTGGGAAGGTCACTGTTTCTCTAAGTCTTCCTGGACCTTGAGGCCCCCGGCTTAGGTCTAAAAGACTTCAAGTGACCAGGGATGGGAAAGGCCCCCATCTCCTTTCCCACACCCCGGGTGGGTCTGGGCAGAAACTAGACTGAAACAGATGGGCAATTCCAACCACCAATAAATTCCCCTTGACCAGTGCCCTCCTCAGGAGCCCAGTCCTCTGCTCCTATGCAGGGAGGACTGGTTGGTCTCACAGGTATCATCCTTAACCTCCTAGTCTGTTCGTGGAGAGGAACCATTAGGCTCCGGTTACAGATGAGAACAGAGACACAGAGTGGTGAAGTAATTGGCTTAAAGCCAGCCAGCAGGACCGGGTCAGGTGTAACCTTGTTTTGCTCTAAAAGGGCCAAATCTAGAAAGTAAGGTTTGGTGGTCTCCTTCACCTTTCCCCATCTCTGGTCTCTCGAAGTTCTGAAACCTCTGGAATGGGCCCAATTCCGGGGCTTTCACTCAGCCCCTGTGCTCGGTGCTAGAGAAACTGAGGCTGAAAAGGGCAGGCACTCGCTGGTCTGCCAGAGGCTGCTGTGCGCGGGGTCTGACAAGACATGGGTCTGGAAGGGCACTCTGGGATCGTGACGCCCAGGCCCTCGGTGCAGTCAGGGAA